GAAGCTCTATGACAGTGGTCTTTTTTTTTTTTTTTTTTTTTTTTGGTACCGGGGATCAAACTCAGGACCTTGTGCTTGCGAGGCAGGTGGCGGAACCACTGAGCTAAATCCCCGGCCCAAGAATGGTTTTGCATACATTTTTTCACCTAGCAGTTAAAACATTAATAGGAATGGTGTCAGCTGAAATGATGCTGCTGCTTTATGGGAAGGCTGGCCTGAAAACAGAATGCTAAGCTAGGTGAGAGAATATATTGGCCTGAACTCAGTAGGAGATACTTGATTTGAGAAATGAAGAAATAAGTTTGCAAGATTTAGTTGGATGGCAGTGATAGTGGGGAAGGAAGAGTCTAGTTTCTGACATACCACTACACCTAGCCTGATTTTTTTTGTTTTTGTTTTTGTTTTTTGGTACTAGGGATCGAACTCAGGTCCTTGCTCTTGTGAGGTAGGCTATGGAACCGCTGAGCTAAATCCCAGGCCCGTGATTTTTTATTTTTCCATTTTCCATGACTTTTCCCCCTCATCCCCCCTTGACACAGGTCATTACCCAGGACAGTTCTCTTGCCTCAGCTTCCTGAGTTGATGGGATTGTAGGCATGTGCCACTCCATTTGACTTCTTGTGTTTTTAAATTTCATTTTTCTTCATTAGGCTTTAAGCTTCAGCAGAGTATGGAACCTTAACCATATTCACTGTTTCACCCCAGTGCCTAGACCAGAATAGTATCAGGCATAGAATAGGTACTCACTAAAAACTAACTAAATGAATGAATCTGTTACAGATACAGATTTGAGAGTCATCAAAATATAAATGGGAATTGATGAGAATGAATATGTTTAAAATAAAATTGCCTAGATCAGTGGTTTTCCATCCAAAGTGGTTCTTTTCATTTACATGAGACTCAGGATGTTTTGGGAAACAAAGATGTCTGGGTTCTGCTCCAAAACGTCTATAAATGAGCCCAGGGCGTTTAAAAAAATCGTAAGTGCTTATAGTTTTGAGAATCAGTATGTTAGGGGGAGAGAAGCTTAGCCCAGAACTTTTGAGAGATCCTTGACTTATAAACTCAATTAGTTCTTGAGGGCTGGTTGTAACTTAATGTTGGTTGTAAGTCAAGATTTTTTCCCATAAATAATGGAAATACCCATAATGCGTTTCTTTCCAAAGCTCCCCATAACTAACCTTTTCATAATAAAAGGTTGTATAATGTGCATAATTTACCAGAAACACCAATAATTTTCTCAGTGTATTCACCAAAAAGTAATAAAATGTGCCTGTTTACCAGAAACAATTTCCTACTTTACTCACCATTCAGATTGACGTCTTTGGCTTGCAGGGAGGATGAAATGGAAGGTAGTTATTGCTTGGAAGGAGAGTCCCCCTCCACAAGAACATCAGGAATCTGGCTCTGGTGTCTTCTCTCCTTGGGAGAGTCTGTAGCCCACTAGGATCTGCTTCTGGCCTTCAAGGTGTCTCTTACCTTTTCAGAACTATTCTGGTTGTAACCCAAGTTTTTTGTATGTGAGGCCCATTGTAACTCAAGGGTCCACTGTACTTAAAAGTTGAGCAGAAGAAGATAGTAAAATAATAACCAGAGGTATCAGTGGAACCCTAGAGAAGAGTGGATTTTAAGAAGGGAGGGCCGGGGATTTAGCTCAGTTGTTCCACCGTCTGCTTTGCAAGCATAAGCATACCGAGTTCAGTCCCCAGTACCAAAAAAAAAAGGGAAAAGCTAGTGGAATCAACTGCTTAAGTCAGGCCAACTCATGTAAAGGATTGAAAGCATTAATTGCATTTAGCAGTATGGAAGTTGTAAATTACTTTATTCAGGGTTTCTCAGCTTTGGTACTATTGACATTTGGTGTGGTTATTTGTGGGAGGCTACCTTATGCATTGTAGGAGATTTAACACCATCTGCAATCTAGCCATGAGGTACCAGTTAGCATCTACTGCTCCCAAGTTGTGACAGCCAGAAATGCCTGCAGACATTATCAGATGTCACCTATGGGGAAGGGGGCAGAGCCATCTCTTCTTGAGCACCCCTTCTTTAGTAAAAACAGTTTTGGTCTCTGGTGCCTGCCTCGCAAGCAAGCACAGGGTCCCAAGTTCAATCCCTGGTACCCCCCCAAAAAAAAACAGTTTTGGTGGAGAATTGAATTCTGAACTCAGACTACAGTGAGATAATGAATAATAGAAATTGGAGAAATAGAGATAGATATTGTGGATAACTGTTTAAGGATCTTAATTATGAAGGGTGATTATCAGGTGATGTGAGAGGAGGCAGCAGCTAGACAGGATTAAGGGCAGTTTTCGTTAATAGGGGTGGGAATTGAGCATGTATATACTGCTTAGAAGGAAATGGAGATAATCCGTGGTCAGACTCCTTGAAGGAATGGCATCTAGAATACCTGTACAAGATTTACCTTAGAAGAAAATAATTAGAGGAAAGGATAGGTACAGTAGCAAATGACTAACAGTTTACTTTGTGGCACTGCTATAAGCAGGCTATATCTTATTAACTCATTTAAACTCAACAATCCTATGAAGTTTGAAAGTATAGTGAACAATTCACAGAAGAATGGATGGTATAAATGATTTAGATTTATCTTTGGGAAGGGGATTTCCAGAGGGTACGGTGAGGAGCAGAGGCATTGAAGTTAAGCAACTTGCCCCAAGATTACATCTCCAGTAAGTGACAGAGGTGGGCTTCTAACCCAGGCGTTTGACCTTAGATCCTGTGCTCTTACCTACTGTAAGGTCAGGTAAGGTAGGAGGGAAGTATTTGGGGAGGAGGGCAGGTATCAGTCTGTATGGATAGGTCACTGTACTCCAGCTTTGATCAGCAGTATAGTTACAGAAACAAAGGTAATTTGATTGAGGGTAGGATGTCTTCTCATTTTGGTGTGTCTCTCCCCCCCCCCATTAGAGATTTAAACTCAGGGCCTTTGCACTGAGCTACATCCTCAAACCGCCCCCCCCCGCCCCCTTTTACGACAAGGTCTCTTAAGTCAGTAAGTTGCTCAGACTGAGCTTAAAAAAGAATGCTGGGATTACAGGCATGAGCCACTGTAGGGCAGGGTTTTAATTGGTCAGAGAGATGATAGATACTGTTTGGTGGATAGGGGACAGGGTGAGTAGGCAGTGAAAAAGAGGGAGTAGGACCAGGGATTTAGCTCGGTGGTTCTGGCGCGTGGCTCGAAAGCACAAGGTCCTGAGTTCGATCCCCAGTACCCCCCCCCCCAAAAAAGGGAGTAATGAAATTGTACGGAAGTCAGAAACTTAGTGTTATTGATGAGTTGAAAGGTTTTGTAGTGAGTATAATAACTGGATAGCTAGAAGGTTTAGGTAAAAAAAAGGATGTTTAAGATTTTCAGAGATGAAGCAGTTCTTAGGGATGTCAGGGGTGGCTATGGAAGTAGATAGCTAAAGTTGAGATAAAGGATCGAGGGGCTGGGGCATTAGAAGGCTGTCCAGAGGGCTGGAATTAGGGCCATGCCAAGACTGAAGTCCAAGCAATGAGTGAGGAAATGGGGAAGTGGACCAGAGAGTAGTATGGCTGGTTGAAGAATAGGACCCTCAGACACTGATTCTTACCTAAAGATGCAAAACAGCTTTTGCCATCAGAAGGAGCGTTCGGAGGTACCCTTTTGAGGGGTTTGAGACAGGAAAGAAAAAGGGGCTTACATTTTGGATCCTGTTCAAGGGTCAATCCCAAAGATCATGATGGGCTGAGTTGAGTGAACATCTTGGGATTTGAAGTTGGCCATTGCTTGGATTAAGCCTGCTTTTATTTTTATTTATTTATTTTTTGGTACCGGGGATCGAACTCAGGTACTTCTGCTTGCGAGGCAGATGGCGGAACCACTGAGCTAAATCCCCCGCCCTAAGCCTGCTTTTAAGAGTTTGATCTAGGATGGTTTGGTTCTGGGAAAGCACTGGTACATTTGTAGACCAGATGGCTGATTCTGTGATGATGTTTATGCTTGTTGCTGTCTTAAATCTGGTGAGGATTGGTGAAATTAGAATTGATGTGATACTAGTCAGGTGGTATCTGGCTGAGTTATAAGATATCCTCTGAAGACACCCAGAAATACAGACTTCCATGTGTGTATGTGCATGCACTAGGGGATTGGAGGTCTGTAGGCAAAATTTTGCAAAAGTTGAAAGGCTATAAAATATAGTTAAGGGACTGCTTATATTCACACGATGTTGAGGCCCAGGGAAATTTGAGTATGTTGTTCATGGACCCAAAGCTGCAGAGTAGGCAAGAGAGGAAAGAACATCTTTCCTGTCATTGGACTTTGAGCCACATTATCAGAGGTGTCATCAGGCATTGCTGTTTATATTCTAGGATAGTGAAGCCATGTTTCCACTTTTTACTTAAAACTCTAAGGCAAAACATGAATCTAAAAAGGGCAGTTTGGGAGATAAACCTGAGCAATGTACTGTACTGAATTCAGAACAATATTTGAACTGCTCTAAAGCCTGGGGTGTGGTGAATGGCAGGGAGGATCCATTTGACCTTTCTCTTGATGGGAAGAACTTCTCCAGTATGATTAGCAGAGTAAATGAGGGTAGTGGGAGACAGTCTTTTTTAGACTTTTGGTAATTAGGGCTCATGTGACAACATTGAAGAAAGGAGAGAAAAAATGTTCCTCTTTGAATGTTTACCATGTAATGCCAGGCACTGATAGGCTTTTATTAATCTTTATAGGAGCACTTTGAGGTAATTTTCTTCATTGATAAGTAATGAAACACTATCAGAGAAGTTTAACTTGGCCAAAGTCAAATATCAGATAAATGATAAACCCTAGGATTAGCTTTGTCTGACTTCAAAGTCTAGGCTTGTTCCCCCCCGCCCAGTACTGAGGATCCCAGGGTCTTGTGCATGCTAGGCAAGCGCTCTACCAGTGAGCCACACCCCCAGCCTTTATTTTTTATTTTGAGACAGTTCTCTCCTGAGTTGCCTAGGCTGGCCTGGAACTTGTGATTCTTCTGATTTGTCCTCCCTAGTAGCTGAGCTTCTAGGCACATACTGCTACTCCTAGGTGGTTAACTCTTTCACCCTGCAAGTTTCATCTGAGGCATCCTCCTCCTCCAGGACATTTCTTGATAGGGTTATAGCTTGTTGGGATTGGGGTTGTCAGTCCTGTTAGCCAAGGGAAACTGAAATGTCATTTTGCAGTGTAAATCAAATCTCTTAAAGGGAATGACCCTGAGGTAAGTAGAAAGCATGTAGGTAGCTAGGTAGCAGATACTGTAGAGAAATTATTTGGCTCTGATTGAAGCTAAATTATCTCCTGATGAGCTTAAAGAGGTGGATAGGTGTGTGTATGTGTGTGGGGGGGGGGTCAAGTTAATAAGAAATGGTCCAAGAACCAATATTCCCAACCTTCTCACCCCCTTTTTTTTCCTCAGCAGCTCCCTTTAGACAGAGGGTCAGTTGCCTGGCTTTGTCATCAAATTCTGTGCTCAGACAAGGACTTTATTTAGGGAGATAGGCTGATCTTCCAGGGAAGCTTTGGCTCTCTCTCCTTCTTTCCTCTGATGAAAGGACATGTGACTGTGAAAAGAACATCCATCCAGGAGCCAGGAGACCTGGGTTCTGGTGTACCTTCTCATGACAGGAACAGCAGTAGTGACTCAGAGGCGGTAGGTATTGTGACACTCATTTATTCATGCAAAGTAAGTATGGATTATCTCAGAGAAGCATGAGAACTATCCTCAGGAGGTGAGTAGGCCCAAAGAGGTGACTTATTTATAGATTTCAGCAAGGGCCCAGAGCTGTTGCCTGATCTTTGGATGCCAGGGCCCTATGGTCTGTGGCTTTTGTTTTTGTGGTTTAGAGAGATGGAATGGGAAGTCAGGAAAGTTTTTCTTTTTTTCTACCGTGGTGCTGGCCTTTGTAACAAAGGATTCAACTTAGCAAGTTGAACGTCTTGGATATTTAACTCTTCTGGGTTCTCAGGGTCCTTCCGGAACCTTATAGGCTCTGTCTTCATGTTGGTTTTAGGTGCCTCATAGACAAAGAAAACCTTGTTCTTTAGCTTCTTTTGGATCCAGGGATCAATTGAGGCCCAAATGATTAATGTTTCTTGTAGCTGCATTGAAACAAAGGTTCTAGGGCTTTTTCACTTGGGCTCAGACTGGAAGGGATAGGGGCACCCAAGGGAAGGAAAGCTGTAACAAGGAACCAGGTCAAGGGACAATGTCTAAGGATTTAATTTCCCTTTCCTTCTAACAAGGAACACATGGTGAGATGAATGAGAGAGATTTGGAGGAGGGACAGAGAAGAATAAAAAGCAGAAATGCCTTACACTTTTCTTCACAGCCTGGTTCTCCTCTGCATCTAGCATGTCCAGGAGCAAGTGGAATACTTGTGGGCCGCAGATCCCCAGGACACCCTGCAGAGGTAGAGTGACCTGCCTAAGTAGCCAGCCCCAGGAAGATGCCTCATCCTTTTCCCCATTCTAGTCTCTGGATGACCTCGTGGCCTAGAGCAGGAGATAGAGTTTCTCAGCTGAGATACTTTTTTTCCTTGCCCATTGAGGCCACTACATGGATTTCAGTCCCCATTATTCACCCAGGAGAGTCGAGACAATTTCTACATTAATAATACCTTCACATCCATCTCCTGAAGTTTTACCTCACTCATCCCCAACCAGGAACAGGTTACCTTGAACTCTTGATAGAGTTCTGAAATGAACCTCCCCAAACTTTACAGTTCTTTCCTCCCGCTCCGTGACTTCATTAAATTGTCTGTTCCCCCTGCCACCAACATATCACAGGAATTGAGTTAGAGAAGCAGAGCCTATCTTACCAAAGAGATGATTGCTTGCTGGCAAGCAGTGGCATCTGGGTTCATTAATTGCCTGTGCAAAGAGAGTAAGTATGTTGTCCAATTAAGAGGGAAGGATGCCTTTCAGGCCCAGAGAGAGTTGGGCATAGTGCTGATTAAGTGATGTTAACTTACATTTTCCTGTCTTATTTCTCAAGTCAGGAAAAGGAATAGGAGGGGACAAACAGGTACTATACTTTGCGACAAAGCACTAAATGATCAGGACTCATCTGTCCAGAGGTTTACTTTTTAAAAGTTCCTTTCAGGTTATATTAATTTGACTTTTATAGCAACCCTGAGTGGTGTGATTAGCTCCTTTTTATAGATGAACAAAACCCAGGAGTCAAAGAGCAACTTATCTAGCAGCAAGTTTCTCAGCCAACTCCTCTGCTCCCATCTCAAGCCTAGGATTTGACCCTGGGAGCTCCCACCCCAGTCCACTTATGCCTCCACCAAGTTCATCATCATTGGCTTCATTTTGAACTCTTCCACAGTTTCAGCCACAGCTTGCCTCATAGCTTGTAGAGGGACCAGAGTGGGACAATAGAAAAAGGGAATGCAGAGGTATCTTAAGTGCTTCACAAATCTTTATTAAACTCTGAATAGGGTCCCTACTTTGAGGAGCTCATAGTCTGATGGAGGAAACCGACAAGTAGGCAATTAGCACTATATAGGGTGCATATAGGAGGGTTTTCTGACTCATTCTGGGTTCTAGGAAGATTTCCTAGAGGAGGAAATGATCCCCTCCGCTGAAACTTGCAGGGTGAGAGAGAGGCAGCAGAAGGGTTGTGTGTGTAGGAGTAAGTTTTCTGGGCAAAGGAGAGAGCATGGACAATACTGGAGGTAAGAGAAAGCATGGGGAGGATGGGGAGCCAAAAATAGTTTAGTTTAGGGAGGTGAGTAAATTGGGACTCTTCAGAGCACTCTGAGTAATTAACATTGAGATAACAGGTGCAAATCAGGATTTGGTCATTCTAAGCATAGCTGGTATACGCCTCTGAGGGGGGAGTGGTGCAGATGAAGCTAGAGCTAGGCAGGGCTCAAGTTGCCAGGCAAAGTAAGCAATCCTGAGGACATTGTGAGCCACTGAAGTTTTTTGTGGAGATGACAATCTGATTTACATTTTAGAAAAATGTCTATAAAGTGGATGGTTCTGTAGCAAGCTATAGTAAAAAGTAAGGAAGAACTGAGGAAGGCCAGATTGAGTATGACTGGAAATTTGGGACAGTTTCTTGTAGCAGATGTCATTTGGGCTGCTCTTGAAGGAGCAAAACAGCATTTTAATAGGAGAGAGGGGTTGAGTCAGTTTTTATCCTACTGAAGAATGAGGAGTATAACTTGGGGTATTTTACCTTTTTTTTTTTTTGGTACCGGGGATCGAACTCAGGTCTTTGCAATTGCGCAGCAGGCGGCGAAACCACTGAGCTAAATCCCCGGCCCATCTTGGGGTATTTTAAACTTAGAGAAGGGCCTGAGTGAAGGCAAGGTGGCTTAAGACATGGGCTACACTGGGGGAACAGGGAGTAGGTTAAGGTAAGTGTGATACTGTGGGGTGGTATGATAGGAGCCAAGGTCTCCAGAGAAGGGAGAGGACAGATTGGGCTTCCTGGGCTTGGGAGCTATGGTCTCACAAAGAAAGGTTCGTAATGTGTCTTCCACTTGAGCAGGTCAAATGTGAGTTTCTCTAGCCCCTGTGCCTTGATCTTTTCCAGCCCAATGGTCCTGAGCATCTGAGTGGCTTCAAAGCGGTCCTGTTTGGGGGGGAAATGTGAAAGATAGGTCCCCTTTCTCATGTCCCAACTCTGTCCTAGTATCGAGGAAGGAAGGATACAAGGCAGTCCAGAGCTTACCTCAATGACACTAGAACAACATATCTGGGCCAGAATGGCCCTGGTGACTACAGCAGAGTGCACATGCATGATCTTGACTAGCATCCTAAGTGCCTGTGAGGGGTGAGGTGGGGCAGGGTGTACAGGTGTATACCTAGAGGCATCTGGATGGCCAGGTGGACTCGGGAACTAGGCATAGACCCATGGGGAACGGGTGAGGTCCTTTCATCTGCCTCTTGGCCTCTTGAGTGAAAACAAGTTTATGTGTGCACATATGCACACATACATAAATGAACCTTTACACATATGAAGTATGAACAGACACATGCACACTTGTCCATATAACCCCATACTCATGCATATGCATATTCTAAACTCAGAGGACCCCGCTCTGCTCCCACCCAAGACTTATTTTCTTTGGACAAGGATGACAGTATCCAAATCCCATCCAAATCAGCACTGGCCTCTGTTGCCCCAGGGAGCCTAGCCTCCTACCCCTCACACCTTCATCTGCTGGGTCTTGGTCCCTTGGCACAGGCACTGCAGCAAGAACTCTTGGGCCATGTTACTACGAGGCCTCAGGAATCCCAAGCACAGGGCTGCTTCGAGGGCTGCTTCACCTGAGGACTTTATCAGTGTCTGCAGCACAAGTACCAGCTCTTCTTCATTCCCAACTTGAGTCCTCTGAGGGAGACAGTAGGTACAATGGGAAGCGGTAGGGACTATGTTTTCAGCTAGGCTTCATGCTTTATTAGAAGATATTTCATCACTGCTGCCAGATCATTCTCCTTTCTCTCTAAATCTCCTGCCATCACATTATTATTTCATCCATGTTCCCTTGTTTGTGCTGTCACCTACTTGCTCTGAGGTCACATCTCATTTCTGTGTGACTATCTTATGGATGGATCACTGTTGCTTTTTTAAACATTTCTGTTGTCTTAATTCTTGGTGGGGGGTTTTTGTTTTTGGTTTTTTTGGTACTGGGGATCGAACTCTGGACCTTGTGCTTGCAAGGCAGGCGGAACCACTAAGCTAAATCCCCAGCCCTGTTCTTGATGTTTTAAAAAATATACACATAATTGATCCAACACTTCACTTTTAATAACTTCATCCTCCACTCTACCTCAGCCACTAATTCAACAGATAACCTCATCATTACTTACAACTGCAACTTCTCCATAATCTCCATTTCATGCCTCCCACTCTGAATATTACCTCCTGTTTCTCCAGCTCATCTCCTAATGCCAATTGTTCAATTCCATAAAGGACTAATAATCCACTGAAACTGCCACCTTTTCACTGATCCCTGCCTTCCCTCTACCCAGGTTAAATTCCACAGTCCTGTTATAATCGTTCTCCTGCTTCACCCTCCTTTACATCTCTTACTTCATTGTAGTCCTTTGTCTGAACCACAGTCCTAGTTAAGTAGAACTCTATTTACTCAGTACTTGTACTTCATAGAGAAAAATCGCACAGTCACAATGACTAACCTTGCTTTAAATTTGTGTACACAAACCTTACATAGATCATTGATACTTCTTGTTAATCATACTGTTTTTCCCTTGGTCATTCTCTCCTTTTCTCTTGATTTGTACCTATTCCCTCCAGAGCCTCTAACACCTCTTTATCTGTTTACTCTCAGATGGTAACTTTGCTTTTTATTTCACTGAAAAAAATCAAGCAACTAGGAAATAATTTACTTAGATAGCTCCTATTACTTCTAACTTCCTCTTTCTTTACACTTGTTACTATGAATTATATACCCATCTATCTAAAACCAGTCTCTCCACTTGCAGAGATCTCATACCCTCTCATCTATTCAAGGACATTTTTGTAGCAACTCTTCTCATTCTCCTCAAAATCATTTTTCTAACTATTGGGTCATTATCTCTCAGTGTAGAACAACATGATTATTTTTCTTTATTTCTAGACTCTGCTTCCAGTGCCAACTACTGCCCCTTTCTGCAAAACTCAGACAGTTGTCCATATTTGCGATCTCTTAATTTTTTCTGGCCCAATCTCTTATACCCATTTTGATCAGGTCTAAAGCCCCACCACCCCACTAAAATGGCTCTGTTAAGATAATCAGTGATTTCTGTATTGTTTAAGCACATGTCAATTTTCATTTCTTATATTCCTTGATATGGTATTTCCTTGACATATGTTCTTTGACTTTCTGAACAGCACACTTTGGATTGTCTCCCAATCTCATTGGCTACTGCTCACATTTTACCAGTTCCTCCTTTTCTTCCTGACCTCTTAACACTGGAATGCCTCAACAGTAGATTCTTGGTCTTCTCTTAGTGATCTCATCTAGTTTAGTGTCATTGAGTGCTACCTATATGCTAGCAACTCCCAAATTTCTCCCTCAAGTTCAGACTTCTCTTGCAAACTCCAAATTGTTACTTGACATCTCATTTGGAGTTCTAAAAGACATCTCAAACATAACTTTTCCAAAATTGAACTTAGGTTGTTATCTCCAAACCTGGTTCCCTGCAGTTTTCTCAACCATGACAATTCTGTCCCTTCAGTTGCTAGGCCAAAAACCTTGGCTTCAGCTTTGTTTCCTCACTGTGGCCAACAGCTCACACTCAGCCCATCAGGGTTTTGCTTTTAAAATAGCCATTATTTAATCAAGTCTTACTAACTGTACTGTGACCACCATGGTCTAAACCACCACTACATCTTAGCAGGATTGTTTCAGTAGCCCCTAATTGGTCTCTCTGCTTCCTCTCCTGGCCCCCACCTCAGTCTTTTTTTTTTTTTTGGTATCAGGGATCGAACTCCGGTCCTTGTGCTTGCACAGCAGACAGCAAAACCACCGAACAAAATCCCCAGCTCCACCTCAGTCTTTTTGCAACATAGTAGTTAGGGTGAAATATAGGTTGGATCACATTACTGCTCTGCTCAGAGATCTCTAATGGCTCCCTATTCCACTCAGAATAAAAGCCCAAAGCCACATATATGTTCTAGTCTATTGTTAAGTTCTTTGACCTGACCTTCATTTCCTATTGCTTTCTCTTCCTGCCGTACTTCAGCCACACTGGCCTGCTTGATGGTCCCTGACTATGCCAAACATGCTCTTGTCTTTGCATTGACTGGTTCTTTTGCCCAGAATACCTTCTCTCAGAAACCTGTAAAGCTAACCCTCTCACCTTCATGTTTTTTGTTATGACTAGTATCTATATGTCCCCTTAAAGTCTCATGCTCATAGCTAGGGCTTTTTGGACTGCCTGGATCTAGGGTGTGTTATACTGGGATTAAAGGTGTGTGATACTAAATTAGTCTACTGATTGGAATTAGTATAGTTCTGGGTATCCTGAATGGATTTTCTGAAAACAGAAGCTGCAGCCTGGGCGTGGGTGGGTGTATCCTGAATGGAATAAAAGGGAAAAGCAGGCTTGCTACTTGCTGCTTGTTGCTTTGCTGCCTTCTGCCTGTTCACACCATGAACTGTTTCTCCTCTGTGAAGCCCCTCTCCACGCCATCTTGCCTTGGAGCCAGCTGACTGTGGACTAAAAACCTCTACAAACTGTGACCTGAAATAAAACTTTCCTACTTTAATTTATGGTTGTCAGATATTGTGCCCCAGCAATGAGAAAAGTAACTAAGACAGCTTGTTCAAGTGTAATCCCCCCCCCCCATTTCCAGGAATTGAACTCAGGACCTTTTGCTTGTGAGGCAGGCATGGCACCACTGAGCTAAATCCCTGGCCCTCAAGTGCACTTTAAAAATGAGATCTTCCCTGTCTGCCATGCTTACATTGCAACCCATCCCCATTTGTCACTCCTTGTCACCTTCCCTCTGTTACCTAATTTTTCCCATTGCACCCCTGACATATGATACAATTTTCTAATTACATTTATTGGTTATTGTGTGTTTCCCTCCATTAGAATGCAAGTTCTACAATGGCAGGGATGTTTGCCTGTTTGGCTCACTGATGTATGCAAGTGCCTGTGATGGTGCCTGGCATATGTTAGCTGTTTAGTATGTATTTGCTGAATAAATGGATATGTGATGGGTTCACGTTCATATGGAGCAGGAATGGAATCAGAGGAGTAACTTACAGGGGGAAAAAACTGAGTAGTGTCAGGACTGTCTTGGTCCTTGTCACTTCTTGACAGGTGTTGCTTCAACAGGTCATTTTAGAGATTATAAAAATGGCTACTATTTTAAAAAAACACAGACATGGGCCTGGGATTTAGCTCAGTGGTTTTGCCTCCTGCTGCACAAATGCAAGGACCCAAGTTCGATCCCCGGTACCAAAAACAAAAAAACCAAAAAAACTAGACATTATACTAGGTATCTTATCTCAGATAGTACATTATCTCATTTAATCTTTTGCAAAACATTTACTGTCTCCATTGTAAGGATGGAAAAACCTGGCTTTGCAGTCTAGCTTTTCATAGGTTGTCTGATTAGTCTCTGCACAAATGTGCCTCTTTTCAACTCTAGAGAGATCTCCACAAAGATAGTGTCTTCTACTAAAGCTGAGAGCTAGGTTATCTTATTTCTGACCAAGCCCCCAGCCAAACCTGTCAATTACATTGAGCTGCTTTGCCCCAATTATAGACTCCTTCCATTCACCTTGTCTTCAGGGACAGCAGCCCAGGAGTTCAGAGCCACTCGTAGCCTTGTCAGAGTCTCCATCCCGTGACCCTCACTTTCCTCCTTTAGTTGTTTGATGAGAGCCTGGATCACATGCATATTCAGGCAGCCTGGACAGGGAGGGTCATCAGGTCACACGACAGAGCCACAAAAACCCATTGAACTCCACTGTATTCTCAAGACAGAAGTTCCAAGCACTACATTCTGGGGTGTTGCCCATTCTCTCAGGACACCAGAGCTGCTGGCTGAACATGAACACACTTTCTGGAGTTTCTCTCTCTCTCTTTGTTTTGCTGTTTGTCTTTCTCTGCATCTCTCTGTGTCTGTCTGTCTCTATCTCTGTCTCCCTTTTTGCCCCATCTTCCTCCTCTACCCAACAGTACCTAGGATAGTTCTCAGTCTCTGCCAAATGCTAGGTTGGAGCGGGCCTGCACTCATTCCATTTCCTCCCATCCTTTCACAAAGAAGTGGCTGTGCCTCCCTCAGCTCACCACCCAGAGAGGCGACATACCCAGGATGGCCAGGGTTCGATAAGCCTCATACTTCACTTTCTTTGGACCAGTTTGGGCCTGATTTAGAAGATAGGGGGTGTAACATAACATAAAGTGATAGAATGTCAGAGCTTTAGGGACTTTCTCAGCTTTTCATTTTGTGAAAGAGGAGACTAGGTCTAGAAAGTGACCTATCTATACTTAAGCACACTACAGACAGGATAGTGCAATGGAAGGAACACTGAACCTGGAAGTTAGACTTTTGTATTTCTCTGTCTGGGATTTAGTAGCCACTTAGGCTTGGATTCTCAGAGCTTCTATTTTCTTACTAGAAAAATACAGATACTAATAACTATTCCCAGTGTTGTAAGATTTAAGTGAGATTTTCAATAAGAATACATATGCCCAATTGTAAATTGACCTATAAGCCTAGAGTGTTGTTTCAGTTAAGGAAGAAAATTAACTCAGGCCCAGTTCTGTCCTAGCTTTTCAGTCCAATGTCTTTTGTTAGACCAAGGGGATCTTCAGATTCCCCCTTTCTTTCAGCTGCTCTTTAAAGAGGCCAAAGGGATGAGATGGGGATATGTCACATACTGGTGGCTCTTTCCTCATCAGATCTGACCTATCAGTCTGGTACCCTGGAGAGTCTTGTCTTATGCCTATGTGCCCACCCTCTACACACCTCAGACTCTGATTCCACCTTTCCTAAACTCCATGCAGCCCCTAGACTCACCACCTGCCATAGTGCCTTCATAATAAACTTGTCATTGATGCCATGGTACCCCAGAGCCTGCAGGAAGAAGGGTAAAGGAAAGGGAAGAGACCGGGCCATGACCCCCAGGAGTTACCATCTTTGGGACACAGGTGGAGTTTATATTTAGGACACCGCCCCTGTTCCCACCACCTGCTTCTAGCTTCTTGTTTCTTTTCCAGCTGAGCTAACTCCTACCTGTAACCGCTCTGCTCTGCCTTTGCTGGTTCTCACCTGTGTTGCATAGAACTGATCATCTTCTCTAGGCAATTTCAAGGTTTTTGTGAGCTCCTACCCATCCAAGCCAGCCAGTGGAAAAAAGGAAAAATAAAACTTCAAACTGAAAGGAGCTCAGCTGACCTGATCCCCAACCCCCGGCCCAGGTTTTGCAGGGAGGGACTAAGGCTGAAAGGTGGTGTGAACTTAAGATAAAGGCACCCACAGCCAGGGAGTCTCCTCCCCGCCCCCGCCCCCATGGTCCTGACCTTTAATCTTTGCCACTTCAGAGGATCCCTGTTAGGATCTAACGGCCCAGATCCCACCTGAGATTTTACAGTCAACTTGCTCATGGGGAGGTGGAATTTTTGGTTACTGTCTTCGAGGTTCCTGTGTGAGAAATTGTACAAGAAGCCTCTGTCCCCTTGTTGCTTCCCTCAGTCACTGCTCCACCTCTGCCACAGGGCCTCAGCCCAGCTCAGAGGTGGGACTAGAGAAAGACACATGAGGGCTCAGTGATATCTACCCCAGCCAAGCTGCCCTTCTACCTCAGGGTCCTCCCTTGGACCTGTGGACTGACATGCTGCTCCCCCTGGCCCACCCCTCCCAGACCTTCCTGTTTTTCCTAGAAGATGTGGAGAATATGGAGGTGGACAGAGCATACTCAGGATGGCCTCTCATTTTCAGTAACATTTTCTGGGTCTCCTGTTCTTTTCTCTGGTCATATAAGGTGTGCCAATGTGTGTAGATCTCAGGTTTCTTGGAGTAGCAGTAGGGGACTGCGTTTGGCTTGTTCAGATGCTGCCTCCAGTGCTCCGGACTTGGGGGAAGCTCTTCCTTTGGCGTCTGGAATACAAGTGGCAAAGCTGTCAGAAGGATTCCCTAGGCCCTTCCCTGAGTGTTGGGAGCCAGGGGAGGTGGAGTGGAGGATTGAGAGGGTGGGTTGAGACAACCTTCAGCCTCTTATTCTGGTTGAAGTCACAGATAACCTGTACTGTAACTTGGGCAAGAAGTTATTTCACTCTGCCAATTTTCTCATCTGTTAAATGGAGCTATAATAATCCTTGTTCTGTTCCCCTCCCAAGAGTGTGAATGTCAAAAGAGATCTAGATTTTGTTTCTTGTTGGTTTTTTTTTGGTACCAGAGATCGAACTTGGGACCTTGTGCTTGCAAGGCAGGTGGCGGCACCACTGAGCTAAATCCCCACCCCAAGATCTAGATTTTGAAGTGATCTATACATTGATCTTAGTCCACAGTGTGGTCAGTTGAGGGTTGCAGTGCACTTTCAAAATAACATTTGAGCAGGGAACTAAAAGAGAAGGGCTGGGGAAGGTATAGACTAAAGGCAGGGAAAGGACAGGCTATTGCTCATTCAGATATTTACTGATTACCTACTATATGCCAAGCTCTATTTACTAGGGATGTAGTTATCTCCTTTGCCTTTGCGAACTTAACAGGTTTGTTGGAAAAACAGACTTTCTCCAAATCTATCTCTTAACTATAACTTTTATGTGTGTGTGTGCCGGGGATCTAACCCAGTGCCTTACACAGGCAAGGCATGCGCTCTACCTCTAAGCTACATCCCCAGCTTTTAGCTGTGTAGCTACAGCTCTGACATACATAGTGGAGGGTTTGGGACGTGTCAGGAGCCTTTTCTGAAGATTTGGCTGAGAACCATCCCTTTCTCTTTTCAAGCCTTCCTATCTTTATAACTGATCTCTCTGGGCAATAGACGAAGGGGATTCAGCCAGTGGTTCCCAGCTTAGTGACTGAAAAAATCGTAGTAAGAGTTTTCAAGTGACTCCATGACTTCAGAAAATGGAGCACTGACTCATGGTAAGTAGGGTTTCCAAATACAGCAAAGAACAAGCAAAAGAATCAAATGGGATATTAAGTTAAATTTGGATCTTACATAACAAATGAAATATTTGGGACATGTGTATACTAGAATTCCACTCATTGTTTATCTGAAATTCAAAATTTATTGAGCACTCTGTATTTTATCTGCCAAGCCTGAGGATCTACATGTTAATTAATAAAACTGAATCCTATTAGTAAGCACTCCCTGCCTGTATAGGTCTGGCCTTGCAGACTTTCTCATACAAGGGGTGTAGGCAGGGGCTGGCCTGTGACAGAGGAAGCTCCTGAGGCTTAGAGAAAGTGACTTGTCCAAGCTCACACAAAGTTAATGGCAGCTCCAGGGGCGAAAGTCAGGATTCTGGGAGTTGGCCCTCCTATTTTGACACAGTTCTCAGGGTAGCAAAAATTAGAGGTTTTACCTTGTAGCAGGACAAGGGCAGGTGAACAGGAGCCATGGCTTTTCTAAATTCTGGTAAGAGGGGTAAGAGTATGTGTGTGATACAACTAAGATGGCAGATACAAAGGTCAGTTAAAAAATCATTCATTGAGGTATTCATCTACTCAGCACTGAGTACTAACCTCAAGTATTTTACCAGGTACCAGGGAGATACGTAAGGCCCTTCAGGATCTCTAGTCTTCTAAAGCCTCGCTGGTGTGGTCTGTAGAACCACAGGGAATGTCTCAGAAATGCTGAGTCTCAGGCTCCACCTCAGACCTACCAAGCCAGGATCTTTACTGGAACAAGATCCCCAGGTCGCTCCTATGTAGTTGAAGTTTAAGCAACTCAGGCCTAGCAGGGTATTCTCAACTTTTTTTTTTGTACCAGGGATCCATCTCAGGACCTTGCACTTTCAAGGCAGACATGGGCGCCACTGAGCCAAATCCCTGGCTGTAGGGTATTCTCAACCTTGCCTGCATATTACAGTTATTTGGGGGAACCTTGTTTGCAAAGACCTGCGTCAGATTAATTGAATCAGATTCTGTGGGGACAGGGCCTAGGCATGTTAGAAAGATCCCCAGAAGATTCACATATTCAGCTAAGGTTAAAAATCATTGGTCTTGTTCAGTTTCTCAAACTTGAATGTGCAATAGCATCACCCAGAGAGCTCATTAAAACATAGATTTCTGGGACTCATCTCCTTAGTGTCTAATTTACTGCCTTTGGGGTAGGCTCTGATAATTTGCCTTTCTAACAAAGATGGTAGTCCTGCTGCTTCTGGGACCACGTTTTGAGAACCACTGGTTTTGTTGATCAGACAGGAATGTTTCTTAGCGACTAACCGAGGGAAATGTGGAGATAGATACAGATGGCATTCCAGAGAGGCACCTAACCTGGCTAGGAGGATGGGGGAAGGTTTCCCAGAGAAATAATACACAAGTGAAGTCTCAGTACAAGGAGGAGTTAGCCAGATATATACGGAGAAAGAGCATAAGGCACGGGAACATCTTATGCAAAGACTTGGAGGTGTGAGAGTTGGGGTGCATGCAGGTCAGGGTACACAGGTGTGGGAGCAGAAGCAGGGAGATAGATGTCCTAACTTAAGAGGACCCTGTAAGCCCTACTGAGGAGCTGGACACTTACCTTGAGGGCTGTGGAGTACCATCAATGTGTCCAAGACCTGTCCTATGGATTTGGTAAACTCACTCAGCCCCTTGCCTGGCATTGGGAACCAGGTAGCCTTGCTTTTACAGACCCCTGTGCGTGACTCCATTCCTGCCCATTCCATCCTCACCTTTGGTCCTGTCTGGATATTCCAGCCATGGATACATGAACATTCTGGAGATTTCAAAGATGTCAACTAATTTTTCATCAGCCATCTTCTCGTGATGGGGCTAGAGGGAACCTGGGAACCTGGGAAATGCGTAGTTTAGGGCTGTGGGGGAGAGGGCACACAACTGGAGAAGACCTGTTCTCTGGTGCAAGAGGGTCCAATGAGGTGAACAGACTTCTGAAGGCAGAAGCTTCCAAGTGCTGAACAACCCGATCACCTTGATAAATTGAATCCCCAAGTTCCATTCTTGAGCCCTACCCCTGGCCTCTACTGGCCCGTGGACTGAACTGGTCACTTTATATCTCTGAGCTTCGCTTTCTTCATCTGAAAAAGCAGGAGAGTTGTGCCTGGCTGGCTAACTACAGGGTTGTGGTGAGGCATTAAAAAAGAAGTCAGAGGGCCCGGGATTTAGCTCAGTGGTTCTGCTGCCTCCTCGCAAGCAGAAGGTCCCGAGTTCAAGCTGTGGTACCAAAGAAAGAAAGAAAGAAAGAAAGAAGTCAGAGGGCCTGGGATTTAGCTCAGTGGTTCTGCCGCCTGCCTCGCAAGCAGAAGGTCCCGAGTTCGATCTCTGGTACCAAAAAATAAAAAATAAAAAAGAAGTCAGAGCATTTAGGGTTTTTCTTAGGATCAGTCAAATCAAGAAAATGGCGGGGAAAGCTCCTTTTATACACATACCCCCCTGGCAGCAAGAGACTGTATGAATGGTAAGGAGCTGCCTTTTATACCTCCTACTTTGCATATGCTGTTCCCTCTGCCTGCCAGTGCTTTCCCTTCTTTTTCTGCCTGTTAAACTGTTAACTAAAATCTTTCAAACTCCATATAAATGAATTTCATCTCTGAAGTTTCCTTTCTTCCCCATGCTCCCTGCCCCACCCACTCAGTGATGTAACCCTGTCATGGCTTGTGTCTAGATGTCCCCCCAAAGCTTCATGCAGTGGTAACGTGGGCCTGAATCTAGAGTGATGGTGGGATTAAGGGCATGTGATTACTAAACCACATGAGTGATTGGTTTGGCACTACCCTAGTCCCGGTAGTCTGCATGGGATAAAAGGGACAGAAAGACATTGTTAAGCTCTCTTCCTGCCTTTGCTGCTTCCGCCGCCATGAACTGTTCCCCCTCTGCCACCCTCCCTTGGAGAACTGAAATCTCTACAAACTGTAAGCAAAATAAACCTTTTCCCCTTCAACTTTGAGTGTCGGGTATTTTGTCTCAGCAATGAGAGAAAAGTAACACACCCCCTTTCCCCACAATGTGACCATATTCTTTTGTACAGTTGATTCCCTTTAAGTGCTTGTCCCGTGTTTAATATGTTCATGGGGCCATCATCCTCACTGGACTGTGAGTTTCCTAAAGGTGAAGACTGTGACGTGTGGTTATTCACCTCTCACCTGTGGTCTCCCCCCTCCCCCCTCAGTGCCTAGCATAGTGCCTGGCAGGCAGCTTACTGTGATAAGAACACAGGGGCCACTAATTCAGCGCCCTTCACATCCCCAGTGAGCTGACGTGATGCACTCTGGGGGATGCACTGAGAAAGACAACACCCCCCAAATGGTTTCCTACCAGAGTGTTTCACCTGAATATAATTATGAGGAAATAACTAGGCAAATCCAAATTAAGAACCATTTGACAAAAATCTGATCTGAATTCCTAAAAAAATCGATGCCTTCAAAGACAAAAAATATGTTAAAGAACCCTAAAAAGCCCCAACAGCTAAATTCAATATGTATACTTAATTGAATCCTGAATTAAAAAAAAAAAACAGCTATAAAGGACATTATTGGGGCAAGTGGGGGAATTTGATGATGGATTGTGTATAGAAAGTAATATTGTGTCTTTGCTGAGTTTCCAGAGTATGTTACCCATTTTGTAATTATGCAGCATGTTATTAGGAGATACATACTGAAACTTTTAGGGCTGAAATGAAATCACATCTGCAACTTTCAAAAATTCAGAAAAAAATGTATATACCCCCCCCACACACTCACACATAGAGATAAATAATGGTAAAATGTTACTATTTGAATCTGGATAAAGGGTCTATAGGTGTATTCTTATAAATATATGTAAGTTTGAAAATCTGCAAATTAAACATGGGAAATAAAGTATGGGCTTTGGCATTAGACCTAGTGGCTTTGAGTCTTAATTTAAACACTTCTTTCCTGCTCTTTTTTGGCTATAGGGTTTTGGGCAAATAATATGTCACTTGTCAAGTAAACAGGAAAATAGGGTGAATAGTACGTACCCCATCAGCTTATGGCTCAGCCACTGGTTTTTCACATAGCAAGTGGAGTACTTAGTTAATGATACACCCAGTTATGACCATATCTGTGGTCAGTATCTGTTCACACAAAGGCACACATAGATGGGAAAGTTGGAATACTTCCACTTAAAAGGTGCTAATGCAGTTGTGAAAACCACAGAATGCCTCTTTCTCCCTATGTGAAAGACCCAAGACCTGTAGAATTGCCATTGAATCTGTTCCGGGGCAAAGATGGGGTTAAAAAAAACCCATTTGGGATTAGGTGTAAGGTAGGCTAAGGTGGAAGGGCCAAACAAAATCTGAGGAAACGGAGGTGCTGTGGCAGGGAGACAGATGAACTCTTGGGGGTTTGGGGAGGTTCATAGTAACTATTCCCCCACCCCACCCCTGCCACCAGTGGATGACTAGTTACTTTATCTACTCTGCCTTCCAACCCCACTCATTTGGTAGGGCCACAAATCCTGAATCTAGGGTGGGCACCAGATGTGTGCAAGCCTGAACCTCCACGTTTAATGTTCATGGGAAAAGAGGGTCCCCAGGGAAGAAACCAAACCGGGAGCCAGCTTTGTAATTACCCTGAGAATTTTAATGAAAAGTTGATTTCTAATGTTGGCCAGTCAGCCATTGTGAGGGCTAAAGATGGGCTAAAGAGCAGATTTCCCACTGGAAATTCTAATGGGAGGCCAGTCTTCTTTGCCTTGAGCGGCATGCTGATTTCTTCCCCTGTCACTGAGTCATGGGCAGGGTGAGAGGCCTGAAGCTGGGAACCCAGAGACTTCCCATTGCCGAGGCAGGGCCACAGTAGCTCTTTTAGGCTTTTAAGTGGGAGAAGCCGTTATTATTGCTGCTTTGTAGTAAAATCCAGGCCCTCCCAAGGATGAATGGGAGTAGCGATTGAGAAGCTTCCTAAGCTGGTTAAGACTAGAGCAAGGCACAGCAGCTGAGTTTACACAAGGTCAGGTTCAGGATGCTCCCTCTCCTAGTTCATCTCTAAAGCGTTGATGTACTCTCGAACCCACTTCTTCTCTGGGTTGGCACACACCTGGCGGTTCTTTCGGGTAACAAATCTGTAGGTGAGAAGAGGTTGACACCTGTTAGCACTGGGACAGCCAGTTTTGGGGATGAGGTGGATTGAGGCATAAGGGGAAATGGTGGTACTGGGGAAGGACATTTTTAGTGCTCCATAAGGTTTTATTTCTTTTTTAGGGAAAGATATTTCTTCTATTGAATCTAAAGGGTTCAAGCGAGAAGCAAAATTGTGTGCATTTTAACCCCACATAAGGGGAGATCCTTCAGGTCCTCTTCCCCTGCTCCAGGCCCTGTGTCAGGTGCTCAAGATGCAGAGAGAAGGAGCCAGGTGTCTGTAATCCCAATACTCGGGCGACTAGGCAGGAGGATGCTGAGTTTAAGGCCAGTCTAGGTTATACAGAGAGTTTTTTTGGAGTCTGTTTCCAAAAAAAAAAGCACACAGAAAAAAGACATCCCCTAGGAACTACACTGGCTAAGTGGGTGACAAGAAGTTAAAGGAACATATGGCTTGGCTTTAGACAATACAGTGCCTAGCATAGAATAGACACTTGACATATGGACACACGAATACATGGGTAGATGAATGAAAGGAGATGAACTTGAGTCTTGGTTTCACCTCTTGTTAATTGGATCACTGAGGGCCTTTCACTTCTCAGCCTATTTGCTGCCTGGTAAGCTGTGACTAGAAAGAACTCCTACTTCGTACAACTGTTGTGAAGCTCAAATCAGATATGTGTGAAGGAGTTTGGAATAATACTCCATATGTATTGTCCTTATTAGAATGCTGTGCAATTTCTGCATTAGGGTGAGCTGCAGCAACATGAAACCAAAGGTCCCGGTACTAGACTGTGGCTCACAGAGGTCAAAGGCCCTGAAATGTTGGCAATTTACCAGCTAGAAAGTGGAGGCTTGTGAGAGTTAGAGGCCTTATCTCTGCAGGCATTGATGGTGAAAGAGCTTCACAGCCTAGGAAACATTAAAAATTGGGAGTCAGGGCCCGGGGATTTATCTCAGTGGTTCCGGCACCTGCCTCACAAGTGCAAGGTCCCGAGTTTGATCCCCAGCACCAAAAAAAAACAACACACACACACACACACACACACACACAAAAATTGGGAGTCATGAGCGTCAGTGCAGCTGCTTCCTCCCGTTTATGGGGACACGGGAGATCATGGGGCTGAATAGCAGCGCTGCCAATTAACACAGTACTTCAGGGTTAGCCCTGCCTATTTGGCCCTTTCTCAGTTTGGCTTCTTTAGGATGTGTTCCATACACATTATTATTTTTTTAAAATTGAACATTCATTTTACGTAAGTTAGAATATCATTAAATATTTTAGAGGTTCTCATGGACGAAAGCTATTTATTGTGCAGCTGTCTAGAAATTTATTTTTAAAATTCTATTGTGCCTCAAAGTATACCCACATTATTATTTGGTCTGACAAAAGAGTTATATGTTTTCTTGTTTTTTGTTTTTTGTTTTGGTACCGGGGATTGAACTCGGGTCCTTGCGCTTGTGAGGCAGGCAGCAGAACCACTGAGCTAAATCCCCGGCCCCAAAAGAGTTATATGTCCCTAACAACACAGGGAATTTACAGTTCAGTATTTGTTTTAAAATTATGATCATAGAGGAGCCAGGAGCCTTTGATAGCTCAGTTGGTAGAGCAGAGAACTGTAGCAGATTAAATTATGATCATATCTTTAAAAATATAAGCTGGGTGTGGTAGTGCGCACCTATAATCCTAGCACTTGGGAGGCTGAGGCAGGAGGATTGCTGTGAGTTCAGGGTCAGTCTGGGTTACATAATGAGTTCAAGGCCAGCCTGAACTACATAGTGAGAGCCTGTTTCAAAAAAAATCAAAATGTATTCTCTACATTGGAGTACTATGCTCAAATATGTTCTGAGATGCAATGTACTCACCTCACTTAAATATTTAAAATAAGGCATTTTGGTATTTTCATTCTTTATGCATGTATCAGTGTATCTGTCAGAGACACTAAACTTGGATAGCTCTGATTCTATAACAGCATATAAAGAAACTTTTTTAAAAAGTTGTGGTAAAATTAACATAAAATATATCCTCTTAACCATTCTTAAGTCTATCCTGCATGTTTTTCTTCTTTTTTTTTAATAGCAAAACATTTATTAGTACATTTTAGGCATACCTAATATCCTGCATATTCTTGAGCTCAGATCTTTTCAGGCAAAGTGAAGGCATAGGTTGCCTGGTGAGAATGAAGATTTCTCGATTGCTTTTTGGGCCCTCACATGGACAGTGTTTCCTCTTAGCCAGTTCCTCTCACTATCTGTGAGAGCTGTTTGACTGTCTCCCGCCTGGATGTGCAGAGATGAAAAAGTGATCAGTAGGGCTCTGGTGCCTCCTAGTGTTCTGTTTTTTGTTTTTTTCTTACTTGGAAGGGTGTGGGAGCTTCTGACCTAGACCTTGTCCTCCTCGTTCAGCCAGGAAGACTGGGCACCTCTCTCCTCGGCACCCTTGGTCTGTAGCCAGGACGTCAAAGCCCAGGAAACCAACACCTGAGATGAGGATTGCTCAGGCCTCCATTTCCTCCTCCCTGCAGCACAGGGTTCCAAAGAACAGACTGTCTTTGTCAAGTCTTCCCTCCCACTTGCCTGAATTCCTTCTTTCCACTTGCTCCTTAGCGGTAGGGGTTCTCAAGTCTTTCTCTCTCAAGTCAGCGTCACTCTCTCCCCTCCCTTGGTTTTTCGAATCAGAGTCTCCACCAAGTTCTAAGATGACCTCGAACTTGTGATCTTCCTGCCTCAGCCTCCCAGAGTTCTGGGATTATAGATGTGAGCCACCAGACCAGCTTTCTTTTTCTCTTTGTTGTATTCTTTCCAAGGTCTCTGGACCCAGGCCTGGTAAGCATGCTTAATGGATGTTTATTCAATAAGTGGATGAATAAAAGAATGCATTTCATTTAAGTTTCACCCAGCACTTCTATGCATGTAATAAGACATTTAGAAAAAAAAAAAAAAGTAAGACACTTAGGCCTGGGGATTTAGCTCAGTGGTTCCACCGCCTGCCTCACAAGCAGAAGGACCTGAGTTTGATCCCGGTACCAAAAAAAAAAAAAAAAAGACATTTATATGATGATGATGATAAGTTAACATCTACTGTGTGCCAGGGAATAATATAAACATTTTATCATTCCCTCTGTGACCCCATGAGGGACGTGCTTCTTTATCTAATTTTGGATGAGGAAATTGAGGCTTAGAGAGGGTGAGTGAGGGGACCGAGTTTGCTAAGTTAGCTGGGGTTCTAACATGGCAGACTAACTCTAGAGCCAGTGCTTAGCAAGACAGTGCAACCTTGCCTCTTTAGTATCGGAAGGCCCTCCTCTTACAAGAAAATGTCATTTCCTCAGGGTTCTTTTGATGGTACCTTGGTGGCTTCCTCCTCCTCTTCCTCTTCCTTTCCCCCTTCTTTCCTCATCTTCTTCCTGTTCCTCTCTTCCTCCTCATCCTTCTTTTATGAGAAGGGTCTCACTAAGTAGCCCAGGCAGGCCTCTAACTCTCGATCTGGCTTCTTCCTCCTTAAACACGGTCCATCCTCAAGTTTGGGTGGTTTCCCACTCAGCAGCCATGTTGCCTGAAGCCTCAGCATAGTCCTGTCCCCCTGTCTCCCTTCCCCTGGCTGATCTCACCTCTCAAGATGCCTCACCCTTGTCTCTCCTTTCCTCCAGGCACCAAGGAGGCCCCAATACTATGCATGTGGGTAACTATAGCAGCTTCTTAATCAGACCCCTATTTTCTAGGCTTTCCTTGTTCCAGCTCATTTTACGCTTGGTAGCTCTGTGCTTTTGCTTCATTTTTTTGCAAGGCCCTCTGTGCTTCCTGCATAGAGGTTCTACACAAAGCAGATCCCCAGAGACATTCTCTGCTTGATAAACCCCACCCCTAGGCTTTTCTCTGCCAGTCCAGATCTCTCCTCACAAAGCACCTTTTGCAGAACCTCCTCTAAATCCCCTTTCCTCACTCTAGAAGTTGGATGTGCTATCTCTTTTCCTTTTGCGAGGTACTGTAGTCATTGCTGTGTCTGTCTGATTCCTCTTATTAGATTGTTAGTGGAATGGTGGTTTTATTCATCTCTGTCTGTCTGCCCATGATAGGTACTCATGGAATGAATAAATAAATAAAAATATTTATTTTTAGAAATGAAATTAGTAGGCTAGGTGTGGTGGCACACGCCAGTCATCTCAGTACTCTGAGGGGCTGAGGCAGGAGGCTTGCAAGTTCGAGCCCAGATTGGGCAATTTAGTGACTTATCAAGAACTTGTCTCAAAATAAAAGCCAAAAAAAAAAAAGTGAGAGGGAGCACTGGGGATGTAGCTTAATGAGAAGGTCAGGGGTTCAATTCCCAGTACTGAACAACAACTAAAAAAGTAATGCTAAATATTGTCACTATACTTTGAGTGATTCATCAGGACCCAAGTTCATCTTTTTTTTTTTTTTCTTGGTACCAGGGATCAAACTCAGGACCTTGCACTTGTGAGGCAGGCAGTGGAACCACTGAGCTAAATCTCTGGGCCCCAAGTTCATCTTTCCAATGTCATGAAAGTTTTTGGATTAAAAAAACTTCAGCCTTTTTTATAGGAAACTTCATAATTGCACCATTTTTGTTCTTTGACTCTCTATCATTTTAAATTTCTTAAGCAACTGTGATTAATGAACTTGCTCTATAATAGAAAGAGAAGGCTCCAGAAACAGACTCCATCCCTCACTTACTGAGCATCCTGATAGAACAACAAACCTCTCTGGGTCTCACTTTCAGCACCAGAGTCACAGAGAGGCTTGTGCATACCTGACAGGGCTATTCAGTGAAATGCACAGACGGTGCACATATGACATTTGACACTTTCTATGTAGTGAGGATTACTATATTTTCCCAAATATATTCTCTTGACTATTTAAAGGTGAATCTCATTTTCTACTCAAATGAATATGTGTTTTGTTTTGATTTGTTTTACTTGACTGCAATTAGGCCCTGCCCTCTGACTGCCTTACTAATTCCTCTGAGGTTTAGGTGGGTTTGATTGTGGAATATGAGGGCTCTAGGGTTCTTAACTAGAAAGGGTGTTCAAGTAAAGCCACACTGGCAAAGATTGAGACCTAGGGACCTGATCTACTGGAATGGGCAGGATCCTCCCAGGACTCCTGTCCAGTCCCTTTACATTATAGATGGGGACTCTGAGGCTAGAGATGGAGGAGCCGTGGTGATTTGAGTAGCTGGAGAATGGGTAGGAGTGGGTAGGGCACCTTCTCACAGGATTCCTGGGGAAGGACTGGCTCCGGGAGCCAGAGATGACCTCCCCTGCCCCACAGGAATCCATGGGGCCAAGACTCACACGACAGCTGAGTTGGAGCACTTGCCACTGGTGTAGAAATATTCCGTGATGTGGTGGCGGGGCAGTGGCCGGGGCATGTAGGCAAAGCAGCAAGGAGTGGTGTCTGAGGCATCTGGGAGAAGGAAAGAAGGAAGGAGATCTCAGCATTTATTGCCAGTGACAGTAGGCATTGTGCTGGGTACTTCTGTGATTTATCTTGAAAGGACTTTTATCCATATTGGCAGAAATGGAGGCACAGAGGGACACAGAGAGACACAGTCACTTGACCATGGACACACAGTGGCAGAGTGGGGATTCCAACAGAAGCCCGAGAGAATCTCCCCAACCTCCCATCTAGTCCTTGAGCTGAGCTTGTATCCTTCCCTCTACGCCATAAGCCCTGCCCTTGGCTCTCAGGATGTGCTGAGCCTCCTCCTTCCCGGTCCTGGGCCCTCTGGCCTCATTCCTGCTCTTTCAGGATACCCAGTGGGCAAAACCTGGCTTCTTTGTGACACGGGGGAGGCTGTGAGGAGGCTTCCAAAACCAAGGCTCCATGGCTTAGCCAGGATCCTAAGTGGGGCCTAAAGGTGCATATTGCTTCCTGGGAACTCTCGCTACACTGTAGTGAGAAGGAAACTGAACAGGAACACATTTGTTGGTCAGTTAATTCAAGAGGCTGCCGGAAGTATCAGTTGCCTCTTTCCAGCCAGAACTGGTTTGATTACCACCACCCCTGGCTGTGCGTCCTTAGGCAAATTACTAAACCTCTCTGGACCTCTGTTTCCCTCTCTGTAAGTAAAAAACAGCTACTCAAAGAATAGTTGTGTTGGGCCAGGGATTTAGCTCAGCGTTTCCGCCACCTGCCTTGTAAGCTCAGGGTCCCAAGTTCAATCCCCAGCACACACACACACACAAAAGAATAGTTGTGTTAAATAAGATGACATATGTAAAGCAGTCAGCACAAAGCCTGCTCCACTGTAGGCATTTAATTAGCTTCTATGTTCCTAACCCCCACCCCACCCCCCATCTATGAATTGAGAGAATATGACTGTTTTAGGAGGGTTTCATTAAATGTTTGGAAGTTTCTTAGAAACCCTGCTGGTGACAGGCAGGCATCAGTTGCTTTTCAGCTTTACTAATATTCCCACATTGGTCCACACTCAGTGAGCACCTGCAGGGCTCAGGAGTATGGGCCTTGGAGACACAGAAAAGATGATGGGGCGGGGGGGCGTCCCCTGACATGAAGCAGCTTAGAGATCTATCGCGGTCAACAGGACATTTGGGTGAAACAGCACATAAGAATGTAAAAATGGGGCTCAGACTGTATAAATGATACAGTGGAAAAGGAAGCAAGGTGTGACACAGCAGGATGGGGGGTGGGCATTCTAGGCAGAAGGTCAGCCAACTCCATGGGCTGTGGTGGCCAGACCTGGACTTACGTGGGGAGGCAGATGCAGTAGCACAGAGGGCGGCAGCAGTTAGGACGACAGAGAGGGCAGCTGCGGAGACCTTCATGGTACTTGCAGGCAGGGCTGTGGCAGACACAGATGCTATCTCGGGATCTTCGGCAGGCATCTTCTGCAGCTTGGCCTGGCCCTTTATAGGGAGCCAGGGCCAATAGGGGGAGCGCCCCCTCCAGGGGAGTTTCCGAAAAAGCAGCCAAGCACTGTGAATTGCTCAAAACGGAAAAGAAAACTGAAATTGCCTCCGGAAATTCAGGTCTCCTTACTGCTCTCCCAACTAGAGTGAGCTCATCCCCTCTCCCCAAGTACTAGGGTTTAAAAAAAACCTCTTCTCTGTTGGTACCCTCAGCTTTACCTCCTAGGGTAGGGTCCTCCCCAGAGACCAGGAAGTTGGGGCTTTGGAGTGCCGTGGGGCAGTTAGGACAGGATCAGAGCCATTGGGTCTTTATTATTCCCCCCCCCCTCCCCCGCAAAGTTCCTGCTCGTGCCTGATTTTATCTCCCTTCTCTCACCCCTGGAAGGGTGTTTTTCACAAAGTGTTTTATTGAGGAGGATCCTCTGGACATAGAATCCTGTTGAAAGCCATTCTACATAACCTTTTTATTCAGAAGAATAAAGGTGCAGGCTGGCTGAGATTATCTACTACTCCACCAAGAAACTGCAGCTGACTTGCTGGGATCAATCAGTTGGACTCTGGACTCTATTTGCCAGCATAGTTTACCAGCAACAAAAGAGACACACCTTGAATTGGCTGGGGTTTTTTCTTTCTTTTTCCTTTTCTTTTTTCTTTCTTTTTTCCCCCTCATTTTTGGTTATTGTTTTGTTTTTTCTTGATTCTTTGAACACGGTTTCTAGTTTTTTGTTGTTGTTCTGTTATGTTCTTGTTTTTATTTCTTCCTTTTCTCTTTCCCACCTGTCTTCTCCACCCATTTCCTAAAGTTTGTCCTCCAAACTTGCTCCTGATCTCTTCCTCTTCTGTTTCTGTTTTCTCCCTCCCAACCCCTTTTAAATCTTCTCCCCTAAGGGTAAAATTGCCATATTAGGGGTTATTGATTCCATACAATTTTCGGATTCATTCTAGATTTCATTATATAACCACAAATCTAGTTCATATGGTTGGTTTTTTGGGTTTTTTTGGTACCAGGGATCGAACTCAGGACCTTGCACTTTCGAGGCAGGCGCCAGAACCACTGAGCTAAATCCCCAGCCCTGAAATCCTAGCTTCTTTTTTTTTTTCTTTTTTGGTACTGGGGATCGAACTCTGGTCCTTATGCTTGCGCAGCAGGCAGTGAAACCACTGAGCTAAATCCCCAGCCCTCTAGTTCATATGGTTAAAGGTAGTAAATTAATAGTTACCACAGTTTGTCATTTTCTAGGTTGTATTTGATGCTATTGTTATTGTTGATTGTGCTACTTTAGCCAAGGTGACTAATTGTGCTAATCAGTTGTTTCTCCTGGTATACCAAGACTGAGATTGCCTAAAGGTCTTAAACAAACAAAAAAAGCCCCCTGTTGGCAGCTGGGCCAAGTAAGCAGAAACCTCACTCCTGATAAACTGAAGAGGAAGAATTGTGTAACAGACTCAAAACCTAAAAGCCAGCTACACCTGGAAGACACTTCTGAGTAGTAGTCATTTCCTAAGTGTTCTGAATACTGGCAATAAATTAACTACTTGCCATAAGCAATTTGCAAACATCAACCCAGGAATCAAACTTTAAAAATAACAGAAAATGAATAGACACTTCAGATACACACACACACACACACACACACACACACACACACACACACCCTGACTTTCAGCTCACCAAAGGCAAAACCTGGAGGCAATGAGGTGGAACAATCCAAAAGTCACCCATCTGGACTCTTAAAGTAACAGCAGAAGTAACAAAGCAGATGAACAAGGCTCTAGAAAAAAATCAAAGCAGAAATAATTTGTCAGATAACTACAGAGATGGTGACAAGAATGAAAGACATGCTTAGTGACTCTAGAGCAGATACAGATTAAAAAAAAAAAATAGAGGAGCTCAGGAACATGATGGAAACCATGAATGCCCAGCACAGGAAGGAAATAGAATCAATAAAGCAGATTCAGAGAGATATCTAGGAGATTAAGAACTCCATTGAAAGTATATGCAGCAGAATGAACCAATGTGAGGACATAATATCAGATATAGAAGACAGGATTGCAGTTAGTGATCATGAAAAGAGAGATTTCTTAAAAATAGCAAGGGAGCACAGGAAATAATTAAAATATGACTATAGCTGTCTAAGGCCCCAAATTCCCCTTGCCCATGAGCTGACTCTGGCATGCAGAAACATAACTATTTTGCCTCACATCACAAGTTGAGCCCTCAATGGTCCATGATACTGTGCCACTCAAGGGTAAGAGTACATCAGCTGAAGACATCCTGGTTCTTTGAGAACTGAGTAGTAATTAAAAAAAGAGAAAGGTTTCACCTGGGGGAAGGACAAATTCTTTATTAGTCTGCTATCTTATCCCACCTACTATCGTAAGAATGTTCTCCTTACAGCCCTCATCAACATAAAATCCTCAGTGACCTAAGATCCTCATCAACATAGGATTACTGACACCCCCCTAAGTCACCTGATGCTCCCTCCAATTGTTGTGTGTACCCAATAAATAACGGCTGGCTCGGAGTATCTTTGTCTTTGCTCATTCTGAGGCACTGACCCCATGTATTATAGCCCCCCACGTATTATGAAATCATATTTCTATTGTCTTTCTTTCTTTAGCTCTCACCACACCTTTCTAGGCAGTTGGAGGGGAGGATTAATTGCCCTCTGATAGAGTCCCTCAGGGAGGTAAAAGGTGAGAGTACCCACCTCATGACTGGGGAAGTGGAGCTGAGCTGGGCATTAGGAGCCTTTACACTGGACGTGAGTTGGAGTAGTTCCTCTGAGTGTAGTTGGGATCAGAATCCAGCTGCTCTGGCTTCCACTTCAGTGCTCTGTCCAGTAAGTTCAGCTTGACATTAAAGGTTTTATGGTTGAGAACAGTCTCAAAACTGAACTCATGTGAATACCTGGGCTAAATGTGGCATCCTTACCCCATTCCAAAGAATTGGATGCAGTAAATATTTCTCAATTCCCTGTTTGAGTAATTCAGAGATAGTGGTAATTTAGCCTGAGTGGGGCTGCAACTGGTTTCTGAACAAAAGTGTGTATCAACAAATACAAGAGGAACTTGAAAAAATATAATCCTATATTAAGAGCATTTTCTTGCTAGCTCCCATCACATATGTAACTTAGTGGCTGAGGGTGATTAAGTTACCCAGAATGAGAAGACCTTGTCACATTTCTCCCTCACAGTGACTCTGAGGCAGAGTGGTTGTTACCCTCACTTGACAGATGAGGAAATGGAACCTCAAAGAGGGTTGTTAACATCTTCGCAGTCCCACAGCTGATAAATGGGCACCGAGCCCAGACGTTTCCGATGTCCATGCCCCATCTTTCTATCAGTAAGGCACTGAACGTTATCCAGGTCCTTCTAGATGCCAGGTGCCATCCTAAACCCTTCATAACAGCCCTCTCATTCCCTTCTCACAACTCATTCATTAACAGTAGAAACATAACTTTGGAAAGTCTGGCCATCTCACTTCATGAGACAAATCACAAACATTTTAGAAACAGTCATCCATCCATGTAAAATTGTTTTGTCTATCTTAGCTGTTTCCTTTGGTCTACCTGAAATTAACCAAACATGTGAGAGGCTGTGGCTGAAGTGATAATTAACAGTAGGGACTCAGCAGCTTTTCCTGTTTATTAGTCATGTGACCTTGAACAGCTCAATATCTCAAGTTTTAGTTCTCTCATCTATAAATCAGAGAGAATAATGCTCCTGACACAATTAAGTTCTTGTAAATGTATGCAGCTTTTAATAGTCTTAGTACAATTTAAAAATACTATAACATTAGCTATTATTATCAACTTATTAAGAGCAAGGAGATGGCAGAACCTTTAAGGATATTCCATATTTTAAGCAATACTTTGCCCTACTTTTTGGCAATATAAATCAGACTCGAGTTAATATGAATTAGTGAACCTCATAAAAATGTTTATTAAGAAATATCTTTTTTGGGCTAGGGATTTAGCTCAGTGGTGCCATGCCTGCTTCAAAAGCACAAGGTCCTGAGTTCAATCCCCAGTACTGAAAAAAAGAGAAGAAGTGCCTTTTCTTACTCACAGTTTTTTTTTGTTTTGTTTTGCTTTGTTTTTTCAGTGCCAGGGATGGAACTCAGGACCTTGCACTTGCAAGGCCAGTGCTGTGCCACCTAACTAAATCCCCGGGCCCCTACAAATGTCTTTTTTTTTTGGTACTGGGGATAGAACTCAGGACCTTGTACTTGTAAGGCAGGTGCCGGAACCACTGAGCTAAATCCCCAGCCCGAGAAATGTCTTTTTAAATTTAATTTAATTTTTTTCTGGTACCGGGGATCAAATTCAGGACCTTGCACTTGGATGTCAGGTGGTGGAACCACTGAGCTAAATCCCCAGCCCTTAAAATTTTATTTTGAGACAAGACTTTACTAAGTTGCCCAGGCTGGCATTGAGTTTGCAATCCTCCTGCCTCTGCTTCCCAAGCAGCTGGGAGTACAGGTGTGCGTTACTGCATCCAACCATATGTTTAACTTTTATTAAGAGTCTACATAGGGCTGGGGATTTAGCTCAGTGGTTTCACCGCCTGCTGTACAAGCACAAGGACCCGAGTTCGATCCCCGGTACCAAAAAAGAGTCTACATATACATGAGGTCATGCAGTATTATTCTTCCTATGTCTGCTTACTGCTTATTACTGATGACTTTGAGGAAGCTGCTAACTTTCTTTGGGCCTAAGTTTCCTCATCTGTAAAGCAAGAGACTACATTCAATCTGCTCTGGGTAATGGAGACATTTAAAATCTGATAAGGGAGGGCAGGGGAATGGGGAAAAAAAATAAGAACCAAGATACATCATGTAAAGGTACAAGATCCCAATGATGAATGTAACTGCAGTGTATACCTAAAATATATCAATAGACTTAATGAAAAAAAATCTGATGATGACTGTAAACATTTTCTGCCCATAAGTAGAAAGCTACACAGATATGCTTGTCATTTTGCATATACAGTGTTCACAGACCTGGCAAGCTCACTGATGAGCCTCAAGAATCTACAGGCTCCTCAATCAGCCGTCCATACCTCGGGTACCCCTTTTCTGTAAGAGTCACAAAAGCCAGGCACACATCCCCTCCAGCTAAGTACGGCCTCTCTTCCCCTTGCCCTGGCCTGTCTTTGTTTTTCCTCTGTCAGCTATATTTTTCCTAAGCTAAGCTGGCTTCTAGCCAAGTCATAATGTGACATTAGGAAACTAAATGCAGGCAGGGAAAGTGAAACCTTATTCCATCTGGATTCTGGGGTTTTGATCAGACATGGAGTTTCCCCATCACTGTGTGTGGGTGGAAGTGGGTGCAGCTCTGGCTTTTCTGGCTGCTCTTAATAAAATGCCTAAAGTAGGGAAAGTCCCCAGTCTCTAGGAATCTGGGCCCCCAAGGGAAACCAGAGGCAAAACCATTTCCCCTCATGGACTTCAATTTTCCACATCTGCAAATTGGAGAGTTGTTCCCAATTCTCTGGTTGTTCCCCTGTTTCTCTGCCCTCCCCCCGACACAGCAAGAAGTTGTCTGCTCTTTTTTGCTTCTGTAAGGCACTGCCTGGGGCAGGTGCTCTGCAAGCTGGTTGGAGAATCTGCAGGAGGCAGCAGTGCAGGTACAAGCCGAGGCCTCCCAGCAGGCTTGGGACTGCCCAGGTGGAGACAGGATCAAATCCCCTCTGTGACTCCTTCTTTTGCACCCTGCCTTTGCCTTTTGGTGCCCTTCTTGTTTGTTCTTTCTGTGTTACTCTATTCTGCCTCTTTCCTTGCTTCCTTTCCCTTTGTTCCCCTCCCTGTCACTAGGGAGGTCTTTTACTAGGTCAGGGGGACTGACTCTAACAACTGCTCTCATAGCTCCCACCACATTCGGGCTCGGGCTTGCAGCTTGGCCTCCCCCGTTTCTTCTCGCCTTCACCACACAGGACAGTGGCTCTGCACACCCACTTGTTTTGTGCAACTGGAGACCGCATGTGGTGTGTTTATTGATGGGAACCAGGCTCATTCGCCTTGGGTTACTGCAGGAGCCCACCACAAGGTACCTTAGCGGATGAGGTGGCCATGAGAGTGAGGTCTGGGGGGAAGCATTTGTTCTTCCAAAATTGCTGGGTGACACGACTTCATGACCTACTTCTCATGCATGGGGGTCCTTTTACTTGTTTTATTCTGCATGTTTATTGGAAGCTTCCCCTTTTGGCACACTGCTTCATGACATTCTCGATCCTTTACTCTTTAAGGACCTCTTACTGCCAGAGCCCAGTCCCCACTTCTGCTATCTCTGGCCCCCAGCCGAAAGCCTGGTGAAGCAGGATAAACGAGACTGAAATCAGACTCTTTGTGTGTCTTTGGACAAATTATGAATTCTTCTATACTTGGTCTCCTTTTGGAAATGGGGCTAAGAATACCTAGCTCCTAGGATATCTCAGAGGATTAAATGAGACAATCAGAAACTGCTCACACCATTTCTGGTACAAAGTAGTTGCTTAGAAAACAGCCCTTTCCTTTTCTTTCCACAAATTTCCAGGTGCTAGCATTTTTTCCCTTAGTGTCCTCTCTATCCCAATAAACATGCTCATCTCAGCTACGAATCAGGAGCCATGAGGGTGAGGGAGAGGAGTGGACAGCAATTTTCCACCAGCTGTCATATACCATTTTAGACTTTTTTCTGATACCGGGGATCAAACTCAGGACCTTGTGCTTGCAAGGCAGGTGTGGCGCCACTGAGCTAAATCCCGGCCTGCGTTTTAGATTTTTGAAGCATTATTTCATTTATTAGAAAGAAACCCACAGAAAATGGTGATGACTCAGATCTTCCCTGAGCTCTCTTTCCCTCTGTGCAATAGACTTCTGACAGTCCCATCTCTGTTCCACACTGGATTTCCCTCTCTCTCAGAGCCTGGCCATAGAGTTGGACATGGTCCCTCTTTCTTCCTTCCCAGCAGTCCCCACAAGCCAATACACTGTCTCTTTTTCAATGATTTTCACAGACAAGTATATAAGGAAGTGATAAATTTTCAGAATCTTAGAGGACTCTATAGTTGTGGTCTGAATTCCGTCCCCTTTTGTTTTGTGATCCTGGGAAGTCCCTTGGCTTCTTGTCCATTGCTTTCAGTCTCAGAGTTGGGGTCCCAGTCTGTTGCTTCTTCTCTGTGCTACTTCTCCTGCCCCCTCTACCCATCCCCCAATCAGTGCTTAGGCCTGCAGAGCACTCTGCCTCCAATATTGGGGATCTTCGAATTTCTCTAGGTAATTGCATTTTTGAGGACCTCCAACTTGGGTGAGGAAGTCCCCTTGGGGAATTTGTCCAACTGGGGTTTGGAAATTCTGCACCTTAGTCATTCCTTCTAGATTCAGCTTTGAGTCATGAAAAGATCAAGGGACCAGGAAGTAGGAGACCTGAGTCCTATTCCCAGTCCAGCTCCAAACCTAGTTGTGAGATATTTGCACACCACTTGCCCTCCGTGGGTTCAGTTTCCACATTTGGGAAATGGAGCTCTGACACTGCTATTTCTGAGGGGCCCTTTCCTTCTCAGTTAAAAGATTAAAAAAGTAGATGATTTTTACTGTACTAGAGAAAGATTTGAGGGGAGGTGTCTTGTTGCTCTTAAAATTAGTTCACATGACTCCTAAAAAGAAGGCTGAGGGGTTATCATCTCTTCTTTCCCTCCCATCTTCCAAAGCCTGGGACTCGCCACTTAGCTCATGAGCTACCTTCCCTGAGTGATATGGCACCCACTCCTCTTCCTCCACTCACATCTTTTCTCTTCTCAGTGCTCCACCCATCCACTGTGTCAAGTACTCATTCATATCTACAGCTCCTGTCAGTTAAATTTCTTTCTTCATAAGTGGAGAAAATATTTGCTAACTTAGTCAAGAAGGTAATGTATTGGGGATAATGTTGAATAGCTCATAGAATAGATATTGCATTGCAGAACTCGGCTTGGAAAAAGGATGAGTGAGAAACTAGAAATATTCTGTTTGGGTAGCAGATACCACTGTTTAAATAGATGTACCCCAGCTAATTTAATCCTTATTCCACTCTACCAAAGATTCACAAACCTAGGAGGAGAGAGTGTGACCAGCTAAGCCTGTGTGATTTGCTTGCTTCTTGGCTGGGAGAAGATAGGGCACCTGATTTTCAGGATCATTGATACTATATACCCTGAAGAGGGGGTGTGTGGGTAATGTCACAGAAAGATGTCACGGTAATACTGGAAGTGGAGACTGGATAACATGCAGAAAAATAAAAACAAAAGTAACCAACCAACCAACCAATACTCCACCTACCCAGTAACTCTCCCATGACATCTATTCATTCATCCATCCATCTATTCACCCATTCTCTTAGCCAACCAAATGGCACACCTTTGTCGAGTACCCATCATGTTCCAGAAGCCATGCAAAGCACTTAGATACAGTGCAAAGCTGTCAGTCGGAAACATCTCAAGAATCTCCTCACACAGGACTCATCTATGGAGCTGAAACAAAGACAAGGTACAGGGAAAGGAATTCATATGTAGGTACTGGAGGGTCTAGACAAACACTGCTAGGCCCATGCCATATCGTTCTAGATGTGGATAGATAAGAGATAGTTTCTGTGAACATCTTATACCACCAGGAGATTGCTTATCATAGTACAGAACAAAATGTGGTCAATTAGGCACCAGAAAATCTGGGTCTGGCTCTGGTCTTAGCTTTTCTCAACAGTGGGCAAGTCATATTCTTTATCTTCCTTTTTAAAATGGGAAGAATGAGTGTATTAGTTACTTTTCTGGTGCTGAGACAAAATACCTGACATACACAACTTACAAAGGAGGAGAGAAAGCCAGGTACAGTGTTGCATACCTGTAATCCCAGCACTTACGGAGGCTGAGACAGGAGAATCACAAGTTCAAGTCCTGCCTGGGCAACTTAATGAGACCTGTAATAAAATAAAAAATAAAAAGGACTAGGGATATAGCTCAAGAGTAAAGTGCCCTGGTTCAATCTCCAGTATTGGGGGGAGAGGTTTATTTTGGCTTACTGTTTTATAGGTCATTAAGATCAAAGGCAGAAACATCATGGCAGACGGGAATGCAGAGGAAAGCTGCTCACCTCATGGCAGCCAGGAAGCACAGAGGCGGCCAGAGAGGAAGGGGCTAAGCACCAGATATTTTCCCTGTGGCCATGCCTCCAAAACCCAGCCAGACACACCCAAATGTGTGCTTTGCTAATCTCCTAGGTGCTTCTCAAGCCAATGAGATTGACAGTCAAGATTAACTCTCATAATGAATATTAGAATCCCTGACGTGAAAGTTCTTTCCAAGCACAAAGTAAAAGAACTGTTTCACCATGGCTGCTTCCATTTCCAGAGTGGCTCATGATAACACTCATGGTTCATGTGCTGCTCTGACTTCGTTCACACCCTCACTGCCCACCGCCCAGTGGTGACCATGGAGAGGATTTGTTGAGAGTTTCAGTTTCTCAGGCTGGAAAATGAATGTCCAGCCAATCTCTGCTCTGAACCTCAGAGAAGTGCTTCATGTGCCTCAGGTGGGCTGTAAACATTGGTGGAGTGAGGCTGGTCCTGTAAATGGGAAGGAACTGACCAGGGGAGGCTCTGAACCATGAGGGAGGCCTAACAGTTTCAGCTTGCAATGGGAGAGTGCTGGGCTTTCCAAGCTGTAGCCAAGTCAACACAGGAGATGGACCACAGCTTGAAGTCAGAGGGGAAAGATGCACTGTTGGGAGGAATTAGCTCTCAACTTGTAGTATTGCAGGTCATGCCCCCAAATGAGTCATGGCACCTCTCCGAGCTTCTGTTTTCTCCTCTGAAATGGGTGGTTTACCTTCAAGGGAGCAGGCCGATGGTGGTGCTGACGTCACTTGTCCTAAGCTGAATTTCTGGGCCAGACATAGACCTGCCTGGTAGCCCCTCAGCTGATGTCTTCTTGCTAAGGATCTTTTCTTCATATCAAAAACACTCCCTGGGCTACCTTTATTGTTGGTGGGCTACATGTCAGTACAAACTCTATGGAGCTTGGCACAATTATTAAAGTTTTAAAAGCACATATTACATTTAACAAGCATTAGCAGTTCTACTTCCAGGGATTTATCTTATAGGTGTGTTGACAGATGTACAACTTAATGTACATAAGATATTCATGGTGTGTAGTGATTAGGATCGGAGGCAACCTAACTGCTCATCAGTAAGGGACCAATGAAATGATTCTGGCACTCCGATACAAAGGAAAGTCCAGAGGCACTAAAAAGGAGGAGGAAGCTCCCTATAGGCAGATTTAGACCAATCTTCTTTTTTTTTTGGTACTGGGGATTGAACTTGGGACCTTGCACTTGTGAGGCAGGCTTTCGAGGCAGGCAGCAGAACCACTGAGCTAAATCCTTGGCCCCTAGACCAATTTTTAAGACCCAGTAAGTGAATGAAGCAAGAGAGCAGATTGGCTCATATAGAATGTTACAATGTGTGCATATAAAAATCAAAACAAAACAATACTATGGACTCATCTTTCCTCTTACATGCATATTTTCTCTCTCTCTCTCTCTCTCTCGATCTCAATATGTAGTTCAAGCTGGCCTTGAACTCACTATGTAGCCCAGGCCCCAGCTCACAGTGATACTCCTGCTAGGATTACTGGTTACTACTAGGATTATTGGGACTATGCCTGGTTTAGGCTCTTTTGGAGGTGGCATAAAACACTGGTATCGTTTACCTTTCTGTTAGGCAGGGTAAAGAGGGAGGCTTCCTCCTTTTATGCCACTTAGTACTTCTAGAATTTTGCACCATGTGAATGTTTGATCCGTTTTTAAAAGTCATGCCCAGGTATTGCAGGCAGACTCCCCAAGGAGCTTCATCTCAAGCTCAACTTCTGTTGCCCCTGAGACCAGAATGACCTGAGGGCTCTACAGGGTCCCCTTCCTGTCCTTGTCCCCTCACGAGCCCTCACCACAGGGGAAGTGGGCTTTTAGTTTTGACACCAAAAATATGTGCCTTCCTCCCAAAGAAGAGCCTGGGGAGCAATGGTTATCTCCTCTGACAAGGACTGTAGCAAAGTGGAGACTGCACAGGTGTCAGAGTGAGATTTGCATCACACCTGGCTTGTGCCATTTAAACTGTCAAATCTCAGTTGCTGCTGTGCTCTTGCTGGACCAGCTCCTCACTGTAAAATGGGCTGGCTTTCCACGGAGCTCCGGTGCCTGGGAAGAGGAGGGTCATTATAAACAGTGCCTGGCTCATAGTAGGTGCTCAGTACCTGGGAGCCGTTGTGCTCTGGAGGCTCAAGTAGGCGTTGGGGGGACAGTTCCCATGGAGGTTTGTCCCAGCCTCGGACCTGCGAGAGGTCCAGGCTCCCCAGGTCCTCGGAGATGGTGTGACTCATGTAGTAACTCCTCGAAGTAGCCCCTGCCCATCGCAGCCCACTCACCCCACTCTACACCACATCAGGCAATACCTCACATGGTTTTTAAAAACCTCACCATGAGTGGTAGGTAGTAGTTTTATCCCCATGGAAACCATGGCTAAGCAAAGTGGGATAGCATGATTGCTAAGCAGATCAATAGCCCAGTGAGAACTCAGACCAGGGAGTATTGGTTTCCTTTTTCATTTCCAAGTGCCCGTCCTCTTGTTCCTGCGAACTGGGCTGTGTGGGTCAGAAATAGACACAGCAACTCATGCTTCTTTTTTTTTTTTATGATACTGGGGATTGAACTTGGGTCCTTGTGCTTGCGAGGCCAGCAGCGGTACCACTGAGCTATATCCCCGGCCCCAGAAACTGATGCTTCTTAGAAAGTGACAAGGAGAAGGCTGGCTGGAAAAGAGGAAATGCAGGCACTTCCAGGACTCATGATTTCCACTCTAGGGCTCCAGTGGGGACTGGCTGGACAGTCCCCACCACCATGTGAGATGTAAACAGACAAGACTCAGCAAACTCAGGACTTGTCACCCAGTGGGAGATTTCTGAAGCCTGGCCTGAGAAGAAAAGTTACCCCAAGAGGCGGGCAGGAACTCTGTCTGTGATAAGACAAGAAAGGAGGCAGGTGGGCACCCAGCCAGTCCTGAAACCGGCAACCACAGCTGAGAGGTGGAGGAACCCAGGAGGGAGGAAGGCAGCCATCCCACTGTGGTTCAGCCTCAGGCTTGGATCAAAGGAGTCTGTGGCCAGACCAGGGTCACAGGGAAGCCACAGTGGAAACACCCCAGCCGATGCCTGCCTGCCTCGTGTGTCTCTAGCCAGTGACCTGGGGTAACAAAATACTAATGACAATTATGCAAGGAAGACACAGACATATGCAAGATTCAAGTTAAAAACATTCCGATCACTACTAGATTCAAGCGATGCAGAAGTATATAGAGTTGTAACAGGAATCTACAGTCATGATTTACAGTTGCAACAAGTGTACAACTGCAGGACTACAGGAAATAAAACTACTCCTATAGCTTCATTTGGTATATATATTCCTGCTGTTTTGCTGGTCTGATGGGGAACTTTAACCTCAGCCTTTCTGGGTCATGTCCAGGTATTTCAGGGCCTATATGATTATTCACTTTCACAGGTTCTTGCTGAGCCATCTTCCCTGGACTTAGAATAGCCTGATGGTCTGGTGGTTTTCTGATAGCTTGGGGTCACATTTGAGGAAGGTCATGGAGACCTGATGGTCCCTGAAGCCCTTCCTCTGTGGGGTCTCCCTGCTTCCCTGCCCACTGGGACATGTATGCAGCACCTGCCTCCCTCCTGCCCAAACTAGGAGGCTCTTTGTGGCTTGAAAGACATCGATTGACTCCTGTTGATCACTCTGCTGAAGACACTGAATATGATATGTCCTTCCTGCTGCACACTTAGGTTTTTAGAGCACAAGCCAGAGGCTTATAAGTCTCTGCCTGTGTCATCTCTTCCCTGAGAAGGTGGAGGAGTGCATAGTGCAGACTGTGCCACTGAGGGAAGGGGAGTGAGGATAACAATAGGAAAAGATCTTACAATTTCCTACCAGAAAAAAAACATGAGCACTTTCCTTCTAATAGCACCCTGTTTCTCAAAGTTACTCTTAAGAACAACTTGTCCTGCATTTGCAAACGTAAGGATTTGGTAACTTATGTGTGTCCCTAAGAGGGTAATGCTAGGGCTGGAGTCATGGCTCAGTGATAGTTTGCCTAGCATGCATGAAGCTCTGGATTCAATACCTGGCACTTCCACCACCACTAAAAAAAGAAAAAAAAAGATAAGGCCTCTCTACACCTGGAGGGACTTCTCCACCTCCTCTCCAAGATCTACTTCACCACTAAAGAAGGGAGCAGCCATACTGTCATGCTAGGGAGCCGCAGGGTACAGCAGGGTGACCAGAGCTGGCCATGTCAGTCTCTTCCACATCCATAGCTCCCTGGTTCCTACCAGGCAAGCACACAGTTCCCAAGAGAGAAGCATGAAATTGCCTCTTCTCTCCGTCCTCCTCTTCTTACACCTTATTAAAAGACTCACTGAAGTATAACTTGCATAGACTGAAGTGCACAAAGATTTCAGCTCAAAGAGTTTTTATACACATCTGTACTTGTCTAACCACAGGCCCTTTCTAATCTTTTCAGCTCTCCAGAACCTTCTCCCCATTCTCTCACAGTGATTATCCATCCCCGAAAGGTAATCACTACTTGGCATCCATGGCAGTTTAGACTGTTCTTGAATGTCAAATAAATGGACAAGAGTGTATATACTCTTTTTTTTTTTTTGGTACCAGGGATTGAACTCGAGTCCTTGCGCTTGCACAGCCGGAGGCAAAACCACTGAGCTAAATCCCTGGCCCTGTATATGCTCTTATGGGTCTGGCTTGTCTCCCAAATTGTGTCTGTGAAGTTTATTCATATTGTGCTTTTGTATGGTTTATCCCTTTTCATTGCTGGATAGTGTTTGATTGCATGGATGCACACAATTATTGAAGCTAAACACAGGCTTCTCTCATTTCAGGTCCCTTGTGCCCCCTTGATCTAAATGGAAAACATCGGGATACCTTGCTTCCTGCCTGTTAGCCCTGAACTCTTGTTCTCTACACATCTAGAGGTAAAAGGAACAGTATTTTCTCTGTGCATAATGGTACACACCTGTAATTCCAGCACCATGGGAGTCTGAGGCAAGAGAATTGTAAGTTCAAGCCCAGCCTGAGCAACTTCGTGACTTAGCAAGACCCTGTCTCAAAAATGAAAAATAAAATTTAAAACAGGCTGGAGATGTAGCTCAGGGTCAAGGCACTGTGTTCAGTTCCCAGTACAGAAAAGAAAATAAAACAAACAAGAATAACAAACCAGGATTTCCAGTTTCTTTTCCTATCTCAAGTCATATTTGGCTCTCCTTTTCCCCCAGAATTACCTGACAAAGGACAGGAAGAAAACTGTTCTACTGAGGAGGATTTCTGCTGCATTTGGGGAGTGGAGTTTGTGTGGAATTCTTGGTCTGAGGAAGAGAGAGAAAGAGAGAGACAGAGAGAGAGAGGAGGAAGGAGGGAGAGAGGTACCCCGGGCATCTGTGGTTAATTAATTTTTGGTTGAAAGTGACAAAAATCTAATGGAAATAAGCTTAAAAAGGAAATTTAGGGCTGGGGATGCAGCTCAGTGGTAATGCACTTGCCTAGCACATGCAAGGCCCTGGCTTCAATCCAGTACTGTTAAAAAAAAAAAAAAAGGAATATAATGACTCATGTAATTGGAAAATGAAAAGAAGTTCCAAATTTCAAGAGGTCTGGCTAAATGCAGAGTTTAAGCAATGTCTTTAGGAGGTTCTCTCTTTTTAAAATTTGGGTTAATATATATTAATTGTACATATTAATGGAGTTCAGTTGCTATGTCAATATGCATATAATGTGCACTGATTAAATTCAGCCTTCCTTGGGCCGGGGATTTAGCTCAGCAGTTCTGCCGCGTGCCTCGAAAGTGCAAGGACCCAAGTTCGATCCCCGATACAAAAAAAAAAATTCAGCCTTCCTTTATCCATCCTCCCCATTCCCTCACAACCTGTAATAACCACTTTCTATATTCAAGCTGACTTTTAAAAAATTTAGAACATGCCATACTCATCTCTCTGTCTCTGACTTACTTCACTTAACATAATGTCTTCCAGTTCTATTCCATTTTGCTGCACATGACAGGATCTCATTCTCCTTTATGGAAGAATAGTATTCCACCATTTCCCCAAGGATTTATTACACTCTATTTTTCCTCTCTGCCCCTTCTGTGTATTGCCCAATTTTCTTTTCCTGAGGATGGACTTTCTTCATTTAGAGGTGGAAGAAAGGGACAAAGCCTCAAGTTAGGTTTCTCATCATTCTAGTTCAGCCAACTGCAGTAAAGAGTGTTTCTTTCTCCCACAGTTCTTTAGCAGTCTCAGGGAGGGACTTCTTCTGACCCTGTGTGGGTCCTGTGTCCACTTCTCAGACCAGTCTCTACGGTCAGGTTTGGGATAAGCCCAGGAGATAGATCCACCCATTAGGATCATGTGGTGGGAGGACACAAAAATGATCCATATTCACTGGGAGGGCTGCAAGTGGGGCAGGGTGCGCTTCCCCCTACTGCCTTGATTCTTTATTTCTCATAATACTACCAGCAGGGGTTTAGGGATATATCAGACTTCCCTGAAAATTCAGGGGGCGATGTTGGGTGCTTTATATTGCAGCAATACAACAACCCAGAATCCCTGGTCTTAGATGTGTTTGGGCCTCCCTGCCACTTGGGATTTCTTTCTGTTGATCAGTCTCTTGTCATATTGTCTGATCTTTTCTCTTGTTCCCTAGCCATCTCTCTTCCTTTCTCTGCTTTTCTGTCTAGTGTGCAGAGTAGTTTCACTTTCCCTTTTTATTCCATTCCCCCTACCCATGCTCTAAGATTCATATTACTTTTTTTAAAAATTAGCTTTCAAGATATTTTCCTAAACCCAAGCAATTTTGTAAGAGCAACCCCTGTGCCAGCTGTTGGGATGACTGGAGTTTTTATCTTACTCTGCAGGCCAGGAGCTGGATCCGTTGAAGTTCTGTGGGCATGCTTCTTGTGACTTAATGAAAGTCTCCAGGAAGAAGGAGCTGGCTGCATTTTCACTTATAAATTATATGACAGCTGGAACACGGCAGCTCCAGATAGGGAAACTGCCTGAATTTTGACACTGGTTGTGTCCATGTTGAAGATAACAGGCAAAAAACTATTGATGCAACTGGAGTTGAAATTATACCCATCCTGATGCTGGAGGTTATTGCATTTCTCAACATCTGAATGATTTGTAATTATAATTTAAAAAGGACCCCAGAAAAGATTTTTGCCGTTATGCTTTCTTACAGACACAGTCGAGGGAAGAGTAACTCTCTAAGAGGTGTCTTAAATACTAGCTGGTGAAACACAGTCAAAAGCATGTGGGGCTGGGCTGGGGATTTAGCTCAGTGGTTCCACTGCCTGTCTCGCAAGCTCAAGGACTTGAGTTCGATTCCCAGTACCAAAAAAGAAAAAAAAAAAAAAAAAGCATGTGGGGAAGGGCCTTTTATGATAGTTAGGAGAAGCTCAGTAAGTCAGTCAAGGCTGTTTTATTATGCAGATATAAGCTGATAACTTCTCCATTGACTGAGTTTCTAGTGATTTAGTTATCCTTCTCTTCCTAGCACAGAGATAGACACCACTCCAAACAGAATTTCCTGTGTAGATGGAAATTTCTCTTACAAATGGGTGCTTTCCCTTTTTTCAGAACAACTTCTGTGTTCACTGTTTCCTAAAATAATCAGCTCAAAATAATCCTTTTTCTCAAGAGACATACTTGAGGGCCAGAGATTTAGCTCAGTGGTGCTGCCGCCTGCCTCGAAAGCACAAGGTCCTGAGTTCGATCCCCGGTACCAAAAAAAAAAAAAAGAGAGAGAGAGACATACTTGAGGTGGCATGTTCTGGTCTCCTAGTCATATTTTTGGGGTGGTGTATCCTGTATCCCATCAATATGTATGTTAACCTGCTCAATCTGCTCTCAACAACTCTGTAATACGGCAACTGTTTTACTGATGGAGGAAAAGGAAACTAAGAATGTAATAGATTTTCTTACTTTGTGGTAAGATGGATTGTTGTTTCAGTTCTTCACTCCCTTTCAGCAATTGGCGAATACATCTACATCTTTTGCCATGTGACATTGTGGTGTATGTTGTCACCTTGTGACTTAAGGCTCAAGCATAAAACTTGATTTGGTTGATGATCAAGCAAAGGCTTGAAATGCACAGGCACAGTTGGGATTCTTTTCTCATGCTCTGCTGTCACCATGAAAATGACCTGGGCTGGTCCCAGGAAGAAGAAGAGCCACCAAATATCAGCTCAGAAAGGAGAAAGTAAAAATCATCCCTGTTAATTATAAGACTGTGCTAGACTCAGATATGGTGAGCTGCAAAGTCAGTAGAAAATGTTTCCCTGTGGTCACATAGCGCTATACTACAGACCTTCAAAACACTGTAAAATTTAGTCACATTTTATGATGCTGGTGTTCTGGTGTTTGGATAAGTACTTCTTGGGTTGAGAGTAGAGAAACCAATCATGGCTACATAATAATAATTTTGGACTTTCAGACTCCCAGCCAAGAAAGTCCAGGAATCCTCATCCTCTTCCCTGTCAAGGTTTGTGCTGATGTGGTTTTCTTGCACTAGTGCCATTCTGCACTTTGACTCTTAGTGGCTGCTGTCATGGCTAAGGCTGAGCTCACTGTGTTCCTGATCTCTATAGGATACCCTCGGGGAAACAGAAAAAGGGTCTCTTCCATTGCTGTTTCATCTTTTTTCTAGACTTACCAAAGTCTTCGATCTTCTCTCTGGGGAATGGTTATCCTGGGGTCTACTTATTTAATAACTAAAGTAGATAAACTGTAGTTATATTTTTAAAAATCCCCCAACTCACTAATGAGCATTCTTAGACTAAGGCTGTATGTGAATTTATTCCGCAGAGTGAGATTTCTATCTTCCCTGGAGACTGGGGCCAATGTTTGCTTTACCACTTTTTTTTTGAGAATCATTTTCCCCCCTTTGATACTGGGGATTGAATCCAGGGCTTCATACATGTTAGATGAGCCCTCTCCCACTGAGCTATACCCCCAGCTTTGGTTTGAGAATCTTTTTTTTTTTTTAGTACTGGGGATCGAACTCGGGTCCTTGAGCTTGCACAGCAGGCGGCGAAACCACTGAGCTAAATCCCCGGCTGTTTGAGAATCTTAATTCCAGTGTATGGAGACCTCTTGATTCTCTGAAGGCCTAAATGTTCCTCTGCAGAATGATGTCTTCAGGCCAACTCTGAGAATTTAGAGCCTATTTAGGTTCTCCTTGGCCGTCTGGAATGGCTAAGTTGAAGTAAGTACTACTGATAGTGGTTATATAAAAAGGAGTTCATTTTTGCTTTTCCCTGGGCGCATGGCCCAGAAGATAAGAGCTGGAAAGGCACTTCCTATGGAATTCTGTTCTTGTATATCAGGTTCCAGCATGGAAGACTGATCAGGCATACTTTGTCTCATTTATGGTGATAGGTTTTCTGTCAGCACTTTGAAGATGTTCTTTTATGTTCTGCTCTTCTTTCTCTCCTCTCCTCTCCTTCTTTCCTTTCCTTTTTTCTTTAAACCCAGGAAGCACTGAGCTACTCCCCCAACCCTTTTTATTATTTTAGTTTGAGACAGAATTTTGCTCAGTTGCCCAGGGTAGGCTTGATCCTGTCATCCTCCTGCCTCAGCCTCTGGAGAGGCTGTCATTCCAGGTGTGCACTACCATGTCCAGCTGGCCTTCATGGTTTCTGATAAGAAGTCTTCAGTCATTCATATAGTTGTTTTCCTAAATATTTTTTTCCTCTTCTGCTTTCAAGATTTTCTCATCTTTTATTTCCAGCAATCTGTCTTTGGTATATTTAAGCATAGATTTCTTTGAATGTTTCCTATATGGGCTTTTCTGACTTTGACTTTGTAGGTTTGTGCTTTTCACTAAATTTGGGTAGTTTTATTTCTTTATATGGTTTGGCACTTCATTCTATGTCCTCTCTTCCTTGGCTCCGAGTATCTGTATGTTTTAATTTGTGAAATTATTCCACTAGTCTCTGAAATTTTGTTTTTTGGGGTTTTTTTTTTTTGGTTTTTTTTTTTGGTACTGGGGATTGAACTCAGGTCCTTGCACTTGCACAGCAGGCAGCAGAACCACTGAGCTAAATCCCCAGCCCTAGTCTCTGAGATTTTGATAATTATTTTCTAATTTTTTCCTTTTTCTTAAATTATGTAAGTTCAATTGATATATCTTCAATTTCATTCCATCTTTCCTTTGACAACACCACTCTGCAATTAAGTTCATCTAGTGAATATTTGTAATTTCATATATATTTAATTTATTATTATTGTTGGTGGTGTTGTTGTTTTGAGACAAGGTCTTGTTATGTAGTTCAGACTGGCCTTGAACTCACTATGTAGCCCAGGCTGGCCTCAAACTCACAGTGACCCTCCTGCCTCAGCTTCCCAAGTGCTCAGATTACAGGTATGCACCACCACTCCCGGCTATCAGATATGTTTTAACATTATTTAAAGAAAGTTTGTAGATCTAAAATTATGTTTCTCTGTTGAGAGCTCCTGTCTTTGTACTCACTATGAACATATTTTGCTTTGCCTCTCTAAATATATTGGGTGCTTTAAAATTCTTGACAGATGATGCAGTTATCTGGTTTATTCTAGAGTTATCGTCTATTGATTGTCTCTTCTCTTGAGACTGGATCATATTTTTTGGTTGAATAATTTTGGATAGTATCTTGGGCTTTGTGAATATTATGGAGACTCTATACTCCATCATACTGGCCTGAAGAGTTTTTCTATTTTTGTTTTAGTGGACTATTAATTTAGATTTTTTTTGGTTTTAGACAGGGTCTCACTGTGTAGTCTAAGCTGGCCTTGACTTCCATATGTAGCCCAGGCTGACTTTGAACTTGTAATCTTCCTGAGTACTGAGATTATCAATTTAGATTTAAACTGCAGTTGCCTATAATAGATGGCAACTGGATCTTAGTTTAATTCTTTAAGTTTTAGCTGCAAATTGCTTTCAGTTTTACCCAAGTATGTGTGGGTCAGGAGTCAGCCATAAACTTGGATTAAGTTTATATAAGAAATTGGGATTTCCCTTTTGAAGATTTTCTTCTTTCTGGGATTCCCCTTTATTGGCCAGTGGTCACTGTTGCCTCAGGCTCATTCCCCTGGTTCATCCATCTAGAAACACCACACATTTCCTATTAGTTTTAGACAACACTGTGACATTCTCCATGGACAATTGCAGTTGCCCTCAGGCCAAAGCCACAACAACAAAGGAACTCATTTGCACCTGTGGCTCACTACAATTTTCAATGCCCTCCTAAATCTACTTGCTTTGTAAGTCTTTCAAGTTCTCAGTTGTATTTTTAAAAGTTTCTGGAGTTTATAGCTTTTATTTACGGAGTGATCAGTTTGTTCTGTGTGTTAGGTGATCATTTTTCCATTCTGGAAGCAGAAATCTAGGGTGACCAGTGTAAAAAGCACTTAAATAAGACTCTTAGAAACAGTTGCTTTTCTTGGCAGGTCTTACCAACAGTACAAGGTGATCTTTTGCATTTCTCACCATCACCCTTACCCTGCTTCATTCTTCTCTACAGAACCTAACATGTACATGTGTTTTTGGGTACCGGGGATCGAACTCGGGTCCTTCCGCCTGTGCAGCAGGTGGCGAAACCACTGAGCTAAATTCCCGGCCTGTACGTGTGTTTTGGTATGGTCTCTTGTTCTCCTCCATTACAAGGTAAGGTCTAGGAGAGCAGGAGCCTTATGTCCTCAGCGTGGATCTCCAAAAAGGGAGAAATCAGGGAAAGGTGGGAAGATGTGGGCACCAGGAGGGCCCATTTTAGCAGCTGGAGTTTCGCATAGCTGGTCTGCCTTACCAACACCATAGTTTGCTGGCCCTTTAAGGAAAAACAGAGATTAGACGTTGTGGCTTTTAACCACTGGGTGGTGCTGTTTATCAATTTTCCTAAAATCAAGCCTGTCTAGAACTGCTTTTCATCAACTCCAAATCTTTACTCTCTTCCAGGACCCCGCTTAAAATGCCATTTCTATGGTAGCATCTCCCTGCCCTCACTCCAAACCTGCAGGCAGAAGGACTCAGGACAATGACTTCCACCTCCCACCCCCTCAGCCCTTTGCGTGAATGGTCATTAATGGGCCCTTCCAGGTGCAAAGGGCCCTGAATGGGAGCAGTGTAAATTAGAAGTGGTTTCTGCCCTGAAAGAAACTTTGTTCAGCTAGGGGCAACCAGCTTAAGCCATGTATTGGATTTAATAGATTAATTTCTCTCTGGTGCTTCTAGAATGGTGCTGGTTCTGTTCCAATTGAGTGAAAATATTCATTCGTCTGTGTTCTGTGGTTCAGATGGGAAATGTATGGAGTCCATGTATGGAGTCTGGAGAGGAAGACTTCTGTTTTTTTCAGAATACAGGGGAAGAGGGAAGAAGAGATCTTAGTGTGTGCTCAGGGTGCAGATAAGTGTGCTCCCAAATGATCTATTGATTCTGCTGTTTGTGTCATGATTCATTTTCTACCAGCTTGTTCTCTGTTGCAATCAACAATGTGGGAGTTGTGTGCTGTCGCCTGACTCTGTCCTGCCTTTACCAGCAAGAACCTAGGGCTCAAGGATCCTTTCTTTGGGAAGGGAGCCAAGAAGTACTAACTCTCTGCAGGTTAGCCACGATACTAGGGACTTACCATATATTAACTGATGTAATTCTCCTAATGACCTGCAATCATGAGTGTCTCAGTCTCCATTTTATAGCAAAGAAAACTAAAGTTAAGGGAGGTCAAATACCTTGCACGCTGACATGCAGACATGCTCTACATTCATGTGTCTTTTAAAATCCTCTCTTGAAAGGAGCCTTAGTTACTTTCTTCTTCCTGAGACACAATGCCCGAGCCCCACAACTTAAAGGAGGAGAGGTTTATTTTGGCTCACAATTCCAGAAATTTCAGTCCATGTTTGGTAGGCTTAAACACAGAAACAGCAAGGTAGAAGGGCCTGGATGAAGGAAAGCTGCTTATGTCACGGCAGCCACGGAGCAGGGAAAGAAGGGAGGAGACAGGGAAGGAGATGTACCTTTCCAGGTCATGTCCATAGCGACCTGGCTTCTACCTCCTAAAAGCCAGTCAGCTATAGCACTTCATGGTCCAATCCTCTTCCAAAATCCTGCCTCAGAGTGTATGAGACTCTCAGGGGACAATTAGATATAAAGCATTACCACACCTTTTCTGGTTCTTGCTTTAAATTTTTCACCTCTTCACACAAAGCATCTTAAGAGTTGCCTACAGTTTTGGTCCAGTTTCCACAATCCCTAATCTCTCACCTACCCCATTTGGTTGGGCTTTTATTAATATTTGCCACCGAGACTTCTCTCATCAAGGTCACTGATGACCTTCATGGGTCAAGTCCAATGACCATGTCTCTATTCTTCCTTTATCTCTTGGAAGCACTCGGCACATCTAGCCATTCCCTATTTCTTTCTTGCATCATTGCTTCTTTTGGTGCCCAGGTTACCACACCCTTCTGACTTTGTCATCTCACGGGCCACTCGTCCATTCTGTTTTTGTGCTGTTGCTGCTCTGCCACTAAATGTTTGAATAGTCCTGGACTTATTACCCATTACACACTCTCCCTTGTTGGCCCCAACATGGTCTTGTGGCTTTATATCTCCAGCTTGACTTTTTCTGGCCCTGGAGACTCACGTAGCCAATTCCTTACTCAACATGGCCACATGGACACCTAAGAAAAATCTTCAAGTTAACAGGGTCCAAACAGAACTTCTTGTCGGGAGCAATGCTACATAATTTTAGGGTAAAATCATTTGGTTAGCCTAGTTCTCCTGCCTGCAGGCCAGCTATGGAATTCCGAGACATAATTCCATTTTGGCCTCCGGTCACAACTGAGACCTCAATGATCAGGTGATGCTGTGATTCTCCAGGACGAGATTACACCAGCTGAAGACATCCTGGGAGGAACAAACATCTACTCAGTTCCTCACTGTTCTTGGATTCTTACATCTTGTTTACGCAGATGTACTGAACTCTCTGCAGGTCGTTTGTTACATTTGTTTCTCCCGATGTACTGCGGTAAACTGGGGGCTTTCTTCTTTGCTGCCCAGAGCAGCACTGATCAGACCCAAAGCTCAGCTTCTTCTCGGTCTCATTTTTCTACCTTTCCTGTAATTCGCCGTGTGCTGCCGTGGCTCGCAGGAGACTAGGATTTACCGCAGAGGTTCTAGTAACGTCCCCTTCCCCTGTTCCCTACAACTTCTGATTCCATTTCCTAAATGACTTTCTCCCACACTTTCCCATTTCTATAAATTGGACTCACATCCACCTGGTTGCCCCAGCCCAAGTCTTTCTCAGTATATCTTTCTAATTGTATCCCTCCAAACATTTCCTTAATCTTCTCACTTTCCCCTATCTCTACCACTAACTCCCTGGTCCAAGCCACCACCACCACCTGTAGTTTGGACTGCTGCAGGGGTCTCCCTTGCCCTCACTAACCCATCGCTGCACAGCATCTAGCATTTCTTTAAACATCTAAATCAGAAGATCTTAATTGCTTAAAAAAATGCCCACTAACTTTCTTTTCATAAAATAAACTGGACACTACCAACTCCAGCTTACAAAGCTCTGCTTGATTTGCTTTTGCCTCCACTGATACTATTGTTGCTTTCCTCCTCCCCCTCCTCCCCCTCCTCCCCCTCCTCCCCCTCCTCCCCCTTCTCCCCGCTCCAGCCATCCTGCCCCCAGGTGCCAAGCTATTTCCTGCCTCAGGACCTTGGCACTTGTGGTGGATTGACTAATGGTCAATGTGTAAACTCCCAGTTGAACTGAATCAGCATGGTCTGGATGTGGAGTATCCACCTTAAATTGTTACCAATAGCCATAAAAAGAGAACTGGAGGGGAAGATCGTGGGCTGTTGATTTTCCTGGAGAAGCTTGCTGCGGATGGTTTTCTTGATGCGAACTTGGCTGTTCTTGTTGGAGGAGGAGCTTGGGGCCTCACTGTTGCTGGGAATGGCTGCTCTTGTCTTCAGGGGAGCTCTGATCTTCACCGTGAGCATCACTTCCTGGCTCCAATGTGGATCCCTCAGCTTGGAGGCACAAATCTTTCATCTTACCAGTGTAGGTTTTCTGGCTTCCACCACTGGCCTTTGGCCCTTCCAGGTGCACATTTTTAATACAGACAAGCATGAGACATTGCCTTGGACTCTAGGTCTTTAGCTGGACTTGTATGGGAAGCTGCTGGGATCCAGGCCCTCAGCTGGATCATTTGAGCCTCTAGAGTGTGGTTAATCTCTTGCACTCCTTTGCATTTGACTGTTTGGGTAATTATCATAAAATAATCCTATAAATTATGTTTCCTATATTTAATGCATTCCCCTGCCTAAGCCCTGGCTACAACACCTGGAGAAATCTTTAGTTATCCGATTCTCTTATGGCTGATATACTCTTAGACACATAGCTCTCGGATTACATGTCCTCGCCTCAGGGAGACCTTTGTCACTACTGGATCTGACCAAGCCATCCATTCATGTAGCATTTCTAAGGCTAACCTCAGGAAGGTTCTTTCTTTCTTTCTTTCTTTCTTTCTTTTTTTCTTTCTCTCTCTCTTTCTTTTTTTTGGTACCAGGGATCGAACTTGGGTCCTTGTGCTTGCACCCCAGTAGCATTTCTAAGGCTAACCTCAGGAGGTCTGGTCATCTCATCCAGAGGGGACATGTCACCAGAGAGTGCTCTTTGTGTTACCTGGGCTTGCTTTCTTATTTTTTTCTCTTCTTGTCCCAGCTGGTTCCCCCACATTTCTTTGCATGGCTCTCATTCACCTGAAACCACCCCTTTCTCTACTCATTAATATAGCTCTTAAATTCCACTCACTTTCAACTGGCCACCTGTGTTCCACAAGGCTGACAGTCATGTAAGCTACTTGGGAGTAGGAATATATGAGTGGAGTCTTTAGGATGACCAGGGCTAGAAAACCCCTATGTATCAGAATTAGGAAGGTGTGTGTGTGTGTGTGTGTGTGTGTGTGTATGTGTGTGTTTAAAGTTGGGCATTCAGCTGGACATGTTAGTTGTAATCCCAGCGCCCAGGAGGCTGAGATAGGAAGATTTCAAATTTGAGAACAGTTTAGGGTACACAGGGAGGTCAAAGCCAGCCTGGACTATATAGTTAGGACCTTGTCTAAAAACAAAACAAAACAAAATAAAGCTAACAAAAAAGACCAGGCCTACTTACCTTGAAGAGACTTCAAGAACAATTAAATGCACCCATTAAAAGACTGGCTTCGAACTGCTAGGAGTTTCTGGCAAGCTTTATATTATATCCTGGGTGGGGATTTGACTTTGTATATATGGACTTTCAGCTAGGTATGGGGGCACATGCCTATAATCCCAGCACTTGGGAGGCCGAGGCAGGAGGGTTGCCATGAGTTCGAGGCCAGCCTGGGCTCCATGGTGAGTTCAAAGCCAGTCTGAACTATGTTATGTAAAATTTAATGCACACACACACACACACACACACCTCAAAACTGGCCAAAACCAACAAAAATCATTCTAGAGGTGCTTCTGTGGTCCTACAAGAACTTTCTTTCAGGGGCCAGGGATTTAGCTCAGCGGTTTCACCGCCTGCTGCGCAAGCGCAAGGACCTGAGTTCGATCCCCAGTACCAAAAAAAAAACAACTTTCTTTCTTTTTTTTTGTTTTTTTTGTTTTTGGTTTTTTGGTATCGAACTCAGGACCTTGCGCTTACAAGGCAGGTGCCAGATCCACTGAGCTAAATCCCTAGCCCAAGGACTTTCTTTGTAAAAAGGAGAGTGAATGGTTAGGATGCTGGGGGACCTCATGGAGCTGGGGACAGACATGGGGGACATTTAGCCTTTGAGCTGCGGTTGGGGAGGAGGGTGAGAAGGTAGAGCTATGAGTGAGAGGACTTAGAGCAGAGTGGAAGCTCAGGGTGGAAGAAAGAGATTGAAAGTCTGGCATCCTCCCCACACATGGAACCCAAGGAAGACTAAATATGGTGAGAAGGAGCGATGCCTCTACAGCAAAGTCAAAAAGGACTAACATAATCGCTTCTCGGCCTTTTGGCTAAGGTCAAGTGTAAAAAGGACTAACATGAATATTCCCTCCGTGATGGACTAAAAAACGTTGTGTTTTGTTTTGTTTTGGTACTAGGATCGAACTACATCCTAGCCCTTTTCAAAAACTTTTTGTTTGTTTTTTTGAGACAAAGTCTCACTGTGTAGCTCAGGCTGGCCTCAGACTCAAAATGATCCTCCTACCTCAACATTTCAAGAGCTGGGATTATAGGCATGCATCACCATGCCTGGTGCCCTTTTAAAATTTTTGAGACAAGATCTTGCTAAATTGCCTCCACTGGGATCAAACTTGTGACCCACCTGCATCAGTCTCCCATAGTTGTGGGATTACAGGTGTATTCCACCGCACCTAGCTACAAATTATATTTTTAAAAATAAGATAGTGAGAAAAAATAGATCTAGGAAAAGGATAAGATGGACAGGAAAAACCAAGAGTTCTATGGGGCTTTTAATGGATCAAGATCTAGTCGGGCTGTTGGAAAGTGGAATACTGACTGTATTTAGAACAGCTGGTGTATTGAAGTGGGGTAAGGAATTGAAAACAGAGCAAAAAGAAAGATGTTTGTATTGAGCAAGCGTTTCTTCCCACATTCCTTCATTTTGACATTTTCTTCCAAGATTGAGACAACATTCAAAATATTTCTCCTTTATTTTGATCACTGGCCTATTTCTCTGACCATGACTGCTCATGTTCTCATAGGCTTGTTCCTTCCTTTCTCAAACCTGATTATCACGGGGAGTTGGGCAGCTGGACCCGGCCCTTCTTTGTTCTGGTCATTGAAGCTAAGTTCTTGTCAGGCAACAAAGGTACGGTGGGATCGTTGATATAATCTTGGACCCATTTGTCACTGGGGTTGGCACAGACTTCTCGGTGCTTTTTGGTGACAAAGCTGTAGAGGCACAGTTAGATTGTCATGGGCTGTGGGTAGGAAGGGGGCCCAGTTCACAGCCTCCTCCAGCTCACATGGCTCTTGTTCTTTGTATTATCCTTTGGGCCCCCTGTATGTGTCCCCTCATACCTCTCTGGGCTTTAGACCTCACCATCTCTTCCCTATGGCCCTCTCCAGGCGTCAAAGCCCAAGCCCCTAGCCACGACTCCACTGCTTCTACCATGGTGACCTCTTGATCCTGTTCATCCCATTCCTGCCTCCAGATTCCTCTTCCGTTCACACAGAAATACCTGCAGGGAGTGCTTACATGATTGCTGGAAGGGTACAGTAGAGGGCCTTTCTGTATCCCACCAGCAGTTTCTTTGGCAATGGTTTCTCTTGATGCTTCAGGCAGCAGGTGGGTGGAGAGTTCACCGACTCAGGGATTTCTGAAAGAATCATATTGCAAGTTGAGCTGGGGAGGCAGAGGGAGAGACCATGGGTGCCCACCTCCATCTCCTACCTCTGAAAGCAAAGCTCCTGTTAGCAGGGACTGATGAGAGCTTGATGGGTAATAGGGAAAGTGACGAAGATGAACTCCTCTTGGGGATAGACATGGGGGACATTCAGCCTCTGAACTGAGGTTGGGGAGGAGGGTGAGAAGATAAAGGTATGAGTGAGAGGAGTTAGAGCAGGAGGAAAAAGTGGATGATTTAGGCTTTGGAGTCAGCTTGGGTAAGATTCTTGACCTAGTTTCCCCATTCATTAAATGAGAATAACAAGGTACTCATATCCTACAGTGGGAGCATGGTGAGAAGAGTTGAGAAGATTCTTAACTCAGAGCCTGGCACACAGAAAGGCTCAACCAGAGCTTATTATAATTGGGAGCAAATGGGGTAATGACCACTCTTCTTGCCTTGGAAGTGGCTCTTTTCCTTCTTTGTGACACTTGCAGAATGCCAGGCTAGATTGTCACTCTGGAGCTCCCCTGACTCCTCATCAGTTGGGGCTAATACGCAGGAGGTCAGGCCTCACCATCTCCTAACCTGCAGAATGCAGATCCCTTTGTATCTGGACCCTGGGCCTCCAGCTGGGGACAAAGTCTGGGACATCTCCAGAGCCCCAGCTGGCTGTTTCATGCTTTGGGTGGTCCATTTCCTCTTCCCTGCAGTCTGAACCCACTACACTGGCCTGACTGACCTTCCCAAAGGGCATTTCTGTCCTTTCCTCTCACCAGACACGTATAGTTCCTGTGTAAGTGACTGGGTACCGTCCCTCTAGAACTGATGTTCATATCCCTGGCTCGCAAGCAGAGTTTACAAAGACCAAGGTCATCCTGAGAATGTGCAGATAGATTGCATGGTGGATTTGACCCTTGCTCCCCTATGTGTTTATACAGTGGAGCCAGGCCAGGCTGCATGCTAAGGGTAGCCTTAAGAGAGACAAAAAGGGCAGGGGCAGCCTAGGGCAGGCACATAGGAGGGCTGAGTATCCTGGTGTCTTCTCTGTCACCAAGTCTTCATAGATGATGGTAGAGATAAGGGGTCAGGGGTGGGCAAAACAAACCGTATTCTCCATAGCTTCCAATTTCTGCTCTCCATAGCTTCAAAATCCCTTTCTTCTTTTCTGCAGACTTTATTTGGCCTTAGATGAGGTATGGAGAAGGGAGCCATAGATCCCCCCAAAATACACTTAGCCTTCCCACTGGGACTCGTTTTTGGTTGTAGATAGTCCCACAATCCATGCCAGCTACTGTGAAGAAGGGATGTCTAGACTCAGACTCCCCATTCCTCAGTTCAGTTCCAAGCAATCGCTTCCACTCTGCTCACCCTCCTCTTCCTTACAGACACTCATTGCTGAATTCTCTGCTACTTTTGCTGCTCCTCGTACCTACTAAATGATCACTCCCTTAGGACCCCTAGGGTATACCTTGCTTGCTTCAGCTTCCTGGAACTGCCCACCCCCAGGAGGTTCTAGCCCAGCTCCAGCTCTACCTGCAAAGGGGAGCAGTAGAAGACAGCAGCTGGGTCTGACAGTGGGTAGAGGCTCTGGAGCTCATGCAGCCAGAGACCTGACAGCACCCTTGGCATTGCCTCTCTGGCAGCTGCCCATCGCCCTTTCTCATCCCTGTCTTCCAGGAACAAGTGGACTCACTTGGCTCGCTATAAAAAGCAGAAGTCATGGTGAGGACGAGGAGGAAGAGAAAGAGGGCAGCCACAGAGACCTTCATCCTCTCAGTGGGGTAGAACTGCTTCAGTGGAGAGCTGAGCAGAGGTGTCTACCTTGCTGCTGGTCATCCACTCTCCGATGGCTCAGCTCTCTGGACTCTGACCGCTTCAGAGTACAGGGAGGAGGAGAAAGATTGGGGCTCTGTATTGGCTGAAAGGGAGGGTGAGTTTGGCAGGATTTGAATTCATGTGAAAGGATGGCCAGAGGACTGGCAGCAAGGGTGTGTCTGCCCTACCTTACTAATGCTTGCCATAGTGAAGTGGTGATTGTTACTCCACCTGGCCACTGACCCTTAGAGAGAGTAACTAATCTGCCCAAGGTCCCATGGGCAAGAGGTGGATGAGGCGCAGTATTGCGAAGCAAAGTCATGTGCTTTCACCATTTTACCTCCCACTATCTTGGTGCTGGGGAAGGAGGGAAGGATTGAATGCCTCAGTTTCCTTCTGGTGGTTGGTCTTGGGGCAGATGCACATAAAACAGGATTAGAGAGGGGCTAGGGATTTAGCTCAGTGGCACCGCGCCTGCCTCAAAAGCGCAAGGTCCTGAGTTCAATCCCCGGTACAAAAAATAAAATAAAATAAAGTAAAAAGCAGGATTAGAGAGAGCACAGACTGAGGCACAGGCAGGGTCTGGTGGCCTCTGAAAAGAATGTCCCCCATCCCCAGTGCAGGGACAAATGATTGAACCCATTTTTTTATATCACAGATCATGCTATTAATATTTCAATAAAACAGTACGCCTGATCTCTGGGTCCCTGTTTGTTACTGAGGCGCTTGGTTTGTCAGTATTCTTATTTATCTCTTTGGACCTTTGGACTCTGGGCTGATTTTTAGGTGCAGCTGGCTGATCCCTCCTGGGGCTGCGTCATCTACCCCTGGGGCTGTGACCAATATTGACCAGCAGAGGGCGCTCCAACGATATACCTGATAACCAGTGTATGTGGTCCAGAGTTCACCTTCTGTCTGTCCGGCCTGGTCTCTGGCTGGGTCTGTCCCACAGAACCTTCTCTCTTTGGATTTCCTCAGGACCTGCTTCTAGGTTGGAGGCAGCAGTAAGAGAAGTGAGAGAAAATATAGGGGCGTTTTCTGTGAAGAGACTGTGAGCTTTAGAGGCATAGGGGAAGTGTTGCAGAGTTGAGAAAAGAGGAAGGCAGGGGCAGAACAGGGAATATGTGGAAACTTAGGAAACTTGCTGCTCGGAGTGACAGCTCATATACAGCTAAAAGGTGATGCGGTTATTCCTGGAGGGTTCAAGGCAGTTAGTGGTAGTGAAGCTGTGGTTTTCTGTTAGGGCAGGGAGGGTGTGTATGTGGGGTACCCCTTTGACCTCCGTTTATTGGAAGTGAGGAGATCTGAGGATGCCTTGTTGTGCCTTTGGGATGCAGAGCCCCTTCTAAGCCTTGCCATGGCCCCAAACCCTTGCCTGTGACAGGCTGGAGGCCAGGGAAGAGTGGTCATGGTTCCTGCAATGGACATTACTCTCATGCCAAGAAAACCAGATTGTCCTTGAGCTCTGGAGATAAGTTTGAGAACCTGTTCCTGGAGCACAGGCCGCTTCTCGATTCCTACCTGTCCCCTTTTTCCTTCTCTTCCTCCTTTTGCACCTGGTACCTGTCAGGCTTCTGCTAGGCCTTGTGGGTGATACAAATAAAGCAATATAGTACAGATTGGTGTAAGTAAGTTAGGGGAAGAGACAAGATAAATGTGTGCATGAAACATTCCTAGCCTATATAGCAGCGAAGAAAGGCCTCAGGAGCAATGCACACGCACACACACACACACACACGCATGCATGTGTGAGTACACAGAAGAATCTGAAATCTGACTGCTGAGGAGAGGCCTTCACGAAGATTCATCTTTAAAATCAGTTGGTGAATTCTAGCTTTATACTTGTGGTAAAGCTTCAATAAGGTGGTGCAAACAGACTGCTTAGCAGAGTGCTTGGCATGTGGAGACCACTAACACAACCATATGTGTTGTTAGTGTTGGTGGGGAGGTGGCTTTTACCTTAAATGTCTTTCTCACACTCTGCTTAGCTTCCCACACTCCCCATCACAGGCCTGACCCTTTGTTTTTCACCAGGATCTGGTAAAACTTCTGCACAGTGAGGCTTGTTGCTGAGGATGCCATGTCCAGGCAGGGCTCGTGTCCCTGTCTACTGCTAGTTGATAAATTCAGGAGAAATGAAGGCAGGGAAGGGCGTGAACTGTCTTTAATTCAAGATAGCGCAGCTTGGGGTGGGGGGTGGCACTGGGCAGAGGGGCAGGTGGAAGAGGCTTTGGCCTCTTCTCTTTAGGTCACTGAGCTGTGTCTTCTCCAGTGCTTCTGGATCACTCAGTTCTCCTCCAGGTCCTTCAGGTAATCCTGGACCCACTCATTTTTGGGGTTGGCACAGATGGAATGGCCCTTTTTGGTGATGAAGCTGCAGAACAAGAGGGCAAAAAAATCACATATTGAGGGGTCCAGCATCCCGGAAGAAAGCCTGACCTCCCTCCTGCCCTCCCACAATGTCCACTGACCTAGACCTTCAGTGCCTTTGTCAGAGGCAGCTCAAAGCCAGGTTCTTCTCAGAGACATGCTCGTCTCCCCACAGGTCCCGAGTCTGTGTCTCCCACCAGGAAGGTTCCTCATGTCTCTTCCTCCCTTCCCCTGATGCCTCCCTAACCCATGGGGCCAGCTTCTAGGTGACTCTCTGCAGGCCTCAGCCAGAAAGGCCCTAGACTGCCCCTCCACTGCCTCTCCATCAGACACATCCACATCCTCCTTGCCTCCTCTCCCCAGGTCCAGCTAGTCCCTGTCCCCCAGGGTGGTGTATGGTGCCACCTACACAACTCCAGGCTTGGGACACTCGCTGCTGGTCTCATAGTAATCCACAATTCGATGATGTGGGACGCTGTGGGTAATGTAGGAGAAGCAGCACTCCGCCGGGTGGAAAGGGCCTCCTGAGGAGAAAGTGTGGAGGACACTGAGGTGGGGGCCCTCATTAAAGGCCATGTTGCCAGCTTCTTCTGCAATCCAGGAGTACTGTGGAGAGGGAAGGAAGCAGGAGACAGCCTCACAGAAGTTAGGGAGATGGCTATGGAGGAACTCAGTCTTTTTCTCCCTCTCCACAGCATTCTTCTGGCTCCTCTTTCCCTCCTTCATCAACTGCCCTATTCGTTTCCCCCAACTCCTTCTGGAAAAACAGGGTGATGACTTTCTACTCCAAGCTTGAAAAGTAACAAACCTCTGGCTGCTCAGTGAGCACAACTTTCCCTGGGGGACAGACTCACAGAGAGGCCTCGTGACTTGACTAAGGTCACACAACCCACACGGCTTACTCAGGAAAAATGCTCCTCTTTGGAGTACAGTGGACCCTCGAGTTATGATCAGCCTGCATATGAACAACTTGGGTTATGACCTGAAATTTAGTTTTAACTCATGACCAAAGTCTTGAGTTACAACCCGAATGCCGGCCACTTGTGCTTCCAGATGGTCTCAGATACAGATTTAACCCCTAAAGAGTTCTGGGAGGAACATTATAACATCCTTTCCCGTGTGAGGTTAATTGAGAAATCCCGGGCCAATGTCTCTCCAAGGACACTGAGACCTTCCTGGAATAAAGTGTGGCCTAAAATTATACAGGAGAGAGACTCTGAAGGCAACTGACCAAATTTAGTTACAACCAGCCCTCAGGAACAAATTGAATTTGTAAGTCTAGAGTGCACGGTATTTGGAAGAAATGTGGACAGTGAGAGGTGTATCATTTAGGAACCAGACCCAGATTCTCTCAGTCTCTCATCCTGTTTCCACTGAACCCATCCCCTGCAGAAAGGGAAAATGTTGACACCAAGCCTCGAGCGCAATGATCATGGAGTCAGACACCCAAATTCTAACCCAATCTCATCTTTGCTTTCTTTTTACTGGAACGGTTTCACTTCCCCTGTCAATTTCTTCCATGATAAGTGAGCCTTGGGGCAGTGTCTGTGTCTGCCCCCCCTTCTTTTCTTTGCTGCATGGTGGCCTTGCTGGGAACCGCACAGATGCACAGTGCCCTGGGCCCTGCACACACCCTAAGCCAGCCCAGCCAGCCCACTGTGGCCAGTAGTTGCGCCTACAAGTGAAGGCCAAGATGGCAGCATCCAGGCACCACAGCCGCCACATGCGCCACACCACCCAGGCGCTCCAAACGGGAGTTCACACTCGGCCCACACCTGCTGCCCCACTGGGGAGCCACCTGGACTGCATCCCCCAGGCCGGCTTGATGCTGCCCGGCTTCCTGTAGGGGATAGGGAACGGCAACCCGTGAAGGCCTTGAGGGAGAGGCCCAGGCAGGTGTTGTGGCCTTAACCTTGACAGAAAGGGCCAGAGTACTAGAGAGCAAGGCGGCCTGGATATGTCTGACGCGCTCTGGCCTGTGGTTCTCATACTGAGCTTCCTGAGCTCTTGGGGGTTTGGGCACTGTTTGGAAGCACCCTTGGTTTTGAGAGTAGTGTCGTGAAGATTGTAGCCTCTTCAGCCCTTTTCCCTGTTTTACATACTGGCTGTGTGGGAGATTTTTCTTGAAGAAAAAATTTCATGGATTATGTGATTTTTCAGCTATTTTCCGACTGTGAAATGTCATAGCTCTTACAGGGGATACCAGGGAGTGACAGTGATGTCACCCGAATCTAGTATTATGGATGTAATGGGATGGGTGTGGTAGGCCAGCGACTCTTTACAAACAAGCAAGTGCTGTGCTTATACAGGGGAAAATCAGATCTGTGCATGTCATGTGACTAAACTGGGCGGAAATGTGAGTGTGCACTGTGGGGGACCTCAGAGGTCACTGAGGGTGAGCAGATGCTTGGGTGGAAGGGAAAAGACCTGATCCTGATATCCAGCACCATTCCAGGTAGTATCCTCACTAGCCAACAAATGGACTATGGGATCCCCTGGTCCCAAGCCCACTCAGGGATCTGACTCTCACCTCAGCCCTCTCAGCTGACAAGTGACTTTTCAGAGAGGCAAATCAGACTGTCCAGATTGCCACTAATTTTAGACTAACTTTATTTCAACAACAATTTACATTTCCTTGAGTTTCTGAAAATGAAATGAGATAAAATGGAAGGGTGGTTGTCTATAAAGGCAGCTTATCCTAAAAAAAAAAGGACC